TCCAAGGTCTGCAATAATAATAATAATAAAAAACTAATGATGTGGAAAAGATACACCAATAGAAGAAAGTAGCTATAGCTCAGGGTTGAGGATGTTTATACACACACATACATAAAATATTCCCCAGGTTCAAATTCACTTTAAGATACTTAAAGAAATTGTAATGAGCAAAAGTCTTCTTTGAAAGCTTACTTTAAAAATATGTATGTTGTTTTAAATCTAACAAGCTGAATATGGTTCTCCAAATTTTGTTAAGCAGATAAAGTAAAATGTCCATCAAGTAGAGCTTGCATATTGGTAAGTATGTTGATATAGTCCTGCTGTTTTCTTGGTAACATTATGGGAATAATTTCCATTCTCTTCCACTGATCTTTTACATCCCTGTCTGGTCTACAATCCTGATGTTTCCTGATTATCTGTCATCAAGAGATTAACCAGATCCGACCCTGTTCTACTTATTCAAGATCAGAAGGTCAGTTTGCTGTGATGTTAAGACACAAAGCCTTCTTAATATGTCCTATTTATGCTGTCTTGGCACCAGTCTCTGGGCAGTGCTTCACCAGATTCTCTGATAGGTCATTCTGATAAAAACATAGTTTAAGTATGAGGGAAGCCTTGGAAGAGCAGGGCAGGACCAGTCCTATCATTAAGGAAAGTGAAGCGGTGCCTCAGGAAGGGGATTTGGGTTATCAATGGCTCTACAAATTTTAGTCATTTCTTCTTATTATTATGTTTTTACTTCTATGTGGTGGAAGAACACTAGCAGGATTTTGTCAATCTAAATAATAATAATAATAATAATAATAATAATAATAATAATAATAATAATAATAATAATAATTTTATTTCTATACTGCCCTTCTCCCGAAGGACTCAGGGTGGTGTACAGCCTATTTAAAAACAAGACAAAACATCGATTAAAAATTTAAAATAATTAAATAAATTTAAAACCCCACAAATTTAAAATACCCCAATTTAAAATTATTATGTTGATAGCCAGCCTGGCGGAACAACAGGGTCTTCAGTGCACAGCGAAACACCCGGAGGTCGGAGATCTTACGTATTTCCGGGGGCAGTTCATTCCACAGGGCTGGGGCTCCCACAGAGAAGGCCCTCCCCCTGAGTGTCGCCAGCCGACATAACTTGGCTGATGGCACCCTGAGGAGACCCTCTCTGTGGGAGCGAACTGGCTGGTGGGAGGCTATTGGTGGCAGAAGTCGGTCTCGAAGGTACCCGGGTCCTGTGCCATGGAGCGCTATTGCTTATATCCTAATATTGTCTTAATAATAAACTGTTCCTTTTTGTACTAGCTTTTTTGATAATGAATTATGGAGTGCTGGAAAAAATGACACACTATTTGCGTCTGTAAAAGAAGGAACCATGAATGGCCATTTTATTATTGACTATAAAGCATTTATTATTGGCATGCGGTGGTTAAGATGCTGAGCTTGTCGATTGAAAGGTCGGCAGTTCAGCGGTTCAAATCCCTAGTGTTGCATAACGGGGTGAGCTCCCGTTACTTGTTCCAGCTTCTGCCAACCTAGCAGTTCGAAAGCACGTAAAAAATGCAAGTAGAAAAATAGGGACCACCTTTTGGTGAGAAGGTAACAGTGTTCCGTGCACCTTTGGCATTTAGTCATGCCAGCCACATGACCACGGAGACGTCCTCAGACAGTGGGCTTTGGCTTTGAAACGGAGATGAGCACCGCCCCCTAAAGTCAGGAACGGCTAGCACATATGTGCGAGGGGAACCTTTACCTTTTAAAGCAATATGGTAAAAATATGGAATTGTAAAGATACTTGAATGAAACATAGATAAAATCTCCTTTTAGTTATGCTTGACACTTGATTACTTCAAGGATACATCTCTGTTTTGGGCAGCAGTATGTAAGTAGTTTGCAATCACCTTTTTTCAGAACATTAGTAGGTGACTTTTGTCTAAGCCTGGAAACTAAGCAGGGTTGCAGAAAGACCTCTGGAGAAACCTCCAGAAAGTATTAGGGCTATTGACTAAACTGAAAAGTTGGGGAAAAAATCCCAAAGGATAGCTACTATATATAGGAATATCCACAAAGTTTGCAACTTTGCAAACTTTGCAAAGCAAATCTGTGAGCAGAAAACATTCTTGAATCTGTCAAGGATTTAATAGAAAGAGTTGCAGAAATATTAATCAAAATAAGTAATGAACTAATACTCAGACTGTTAGAAAACATTTGAAAGGAAGTTGATGCAAACTTAAGACATTTTCCTGGTTAATATGTGCCAAAGGCATATCTACAGTAGGTCCAATTGAACTGAAAATAACACTTCTAAATAAGCAATCAAAAACTAAAAAAAAAAAAAACAAACCCAAAAAACCCTAACACAAAACACAAATCCTCTAAAGCTCTGAGTCAGCATTCCCTTTTCCTTATTTTCTACTTCAAACAAAAGTTACATTTTTAAAAACCTGACCTTTCTTCATTATTTTCTAATAGCAGTTGGCTTGAGCTGCCAGGATAATTTTATATAACCAATTTCTGTGATTACATTGTTGAAGTTGAAGGAATGTCACCATAGGATTTAGTTTAATTAAAGCCCCGCACATCGACTCTCTGACTGTCTTTGTCTTCCTTGTTTGTTGACTACTGTGAAATGCCATGGCTTAATATGCAGAGGTCAAACAGCAGCCATGCTGTTAAGTTCAAGGAGATCTTTTCAAGAAGTAATTGTTCCAACGATTATTTCCACCAGGAAATTGATGCTGACTACTTCTCTACTTCATTCCCAAATATTTGTACACTCTGTTTGTTTTATTAATTGGTTCTTTTTCATTATTTTTCTGGGAAAGCCAAACTATCCCACACCTGATTAGTAAAAGCCTCATATAATTGTGATAGGTTCAAGGTGATTTTGAGGATAGGAAAAAGTATGAGTGTAGAAATCTGTTCTTCATTCTGAAGCCATCTGGAGTTTTCCCAGATCCTAAGACATCTAGTCCAACAATCCAATGGTTCATAGATTGTCTATGATGAATACTGACTCACTTTGAAAGAAAGAATGTGTTCAGTCAAACATCTTCCAGGAGTTCCAGAATCAACCACATTAGTTCTGTGGTCCTGAGAAAAACCAGTGTCATCCTTCTCTTTCATCAGTAAAAAGAACAAAATTATCAACTTAGTCTTGAAGCTAGAGTAGCTATAATACAGTATTAAGCAGAAGATTGGCTCTTACAAGTACAAGTTGTGTTGATCCACATAACTGCACTGATAAAAGAAACCCCCAGCAAATGTACAGCTTGTAGTAACTAATCCATCCTGCTTTGGTTTCCAAGCAAAGGAAAAGCTATAAAGTTAGTGCCCTTGACTCATATAAAACTCCACATAAGAAGAAACATGCTATTAACTTTTTAAGAGTGATGGTAATTAAATGCAGGGGGAAAAAAGAGAGCATTATCCCATTCTCTTCTAAAAATGAATATACCTTCAGTTTGTCTGTGGTTCTTTCTTATTGCTTATATTGTTTATTTGTTCTGAAATAGAAATTACAGATGACAATCTTAAAACAAATATACTACGGAAGGAAAGGAAGGTGGGCTTTTTTTGTAATCATCCCAAAGCTCACAAGTAGAAAAATGTAGTCAAAACACATGAAGCACCTATCCTCTCCCTACTGAACTGTGTACAGTTCCACCGGCTTGCAAACTGCTAGTAGTTTCTCTCTCCTGCCCACTCATTTAATAGTTAAAGGAACAATATTATGTCTTGGACGCATACAAATGCACAAAAAGAAAAAAGAGTTAAGAATATATAGACCAATGTCAGATGTTTTCCATTTGCTGATTGACTGGGTTTACACACCATTTTTATGTTATGTGAATCTAGCTGTGGATTTTATAAAACATTATAATGGTTGACAGAGATCCATTAGCCCAGGGGTGTCAAACTGGCAGCCTGCTGGCCGGATGCATCACATGCAGGCCACGCCCACCCCAGCTCCACAAATGAGAAAAACGTCATGAAACATCACGTGACAACAATGTGACACAGCGAGTTTGACACCCGTGCATTAGCCCAATAATTAATGCTACATTAATGGTGTCACAATATTATTTTGTATGAAATTCCTACTAACTGAAGTAAATTTTATATCTATGCTGGGAGTGCAATACCCCAAATTTTAGTTCTTCCACCAAAAAGTGACACATGTACAATTCTGCTTTAATATTATTCATATTATTAGAACATGCTGCATTCAACTTAAGGTTTTCTTGTGATTGCTTTTTTCTTTTTGTAGCATAAACAACATCACCATCTATGGAGATGGGTGCTTGAATTAAATGAACCCAAACATTTCATTATATAGAAGTATCATGTTCTTGGATTGTTTATTGGAGGAAGGTTAAATTAAAATTTTTAAACTGTCAGTCAGGATTTTTATGTAAGATGGGATTCTCACATTGTCTTGAACTGCTGTGTTAGCAAAAGTAGGACAGAATGTACAATATCATCATCTTTACTTCTCAATTCAGGTTCCAAAATAGTCTCAAAGGTGCTTTTTTCAAGAGGCAACTGGAGTTTCTGGTTTTTCTTTGAAGACGTTTCACTTCTCATTCGCTTCTCATTCAAAGAAAAAACCAGAAAGTCCAGTTGCCTCTTGAAAAAAGCACCTTTGGGACAACCATGACCTGGATGACTGAGAATCTCCATAGACGTCCCAAAATAGTGTTAGCATCAATAGTCCAAGATACATGTCATTATTAAAACTACATAGCTAGAATTTTTCACTCTTTTTATTTCCTGCTCTCCTCCCTCCCCCCCCTTTTTAGGTATTTCCTAGTATAATGAAACATTTTGGCAAAGTTTTCATCCCTACCTTGTTGGCATTTTGATTGGTCCTATTAAAACACAGGTGTCAAAGTCACTGCGTCAAGTTGCCGTCATGTGACGTTTCGTGATGTTTTTCCCATTCACGAAGCTGGGGCAGGCGTGGCCTGTGTGCAACGCATCCAGCCTGCGGGCCGCTAGTTTGGCACCCCTGTATTAAAGGCAGGGGTATATACCCAGATCCCTTAAAGTCCTTGCAACATATTTTATTACAAAATATTCCTGAATATGATCTCTGCTTCTGGACTAGTCACTCTCTCTCTCTCTCTCTCTCTGTCAAATCCATCTCAGAGTTGCTGTTATTGTGGGGAAATAGGTGGCAAGAATATTAGGTATATAGATAAAATAGATAATCCAGTGACCTATTAGGTCATCCTTTGAGAGAAAGGTAGCACAGTCTGATGTGACCAAATAAATAGAATAACCATGAGCAAAAAAGCAGTTGGAGCAGGAGTGACTTCCAATTTCTTGCCAACTTTGCTTTCCCATTGATTTGCTTGTGGAAGCTCGCAGGAAGTGCCAGAAATGGGACTGTTGCAACAGCCATAGTTTTGCAAATAAAACTGGTCGGAACATCTTCAGAAACTTCGATTCCACTGGAGTAATGGGTCCTAGATTTGTATGCCTTCTTTAATGGATTTTAGGTGCCTTGGTTCAAAAATTGTTGCCTCATTTGGGCTAACATGGTACAGACAGACAAACACAATGAAAATTTTAATAGTATATAGATATATATTAAAAAGGCAGTATAATAATAACAACAATAATATGGAATAATAGTTGTATTTCTAGAATATTTAGAAAAAGAAGTTTTATCCTTTCCTTAAATTGGCTAATTTAGCTGTTTTCTTAAGCATTACCTAAAATGTAAAAACTAGCTTTTGCTTGTAATCTATATTTAGCTATGATTAAGGAATCAAGACTGCAACCCCCAGAGCTGGCTAATAATGGTTTGATTTTCACAACAGTCTCTGTAGCAGTTAGTATATTTAGTAAGAATATTAATTATTGTCCACCCTCTGGTGGCTGAATGTGGAGCCACATTCAAATGCTGTTGTTGGCAAAGGTTTCCCTAATTATCAAAGCAATATTGCGCTTTGGTAAAGCAAAAAACAACAACACAGAATTCCAAGCAAGGAATAAAAAGGCAGAAAAATATAACTTCTAATTTCTAAGGCTTGGGTGGGGGGGAGGTTGTCATTTTTGTTAAACCTGCCAGAGAATAAGAATTGTGCAAGAATATCTTTTGCCTGCAATCTTCGAGCACTAGAAGGAAAATAAATACCATTCATGTTAACTCTGTGCTGTTTTACTTTATATGTAGTCACTTACCAAGAAATGTTCTCAGTCTTGTCCCAAAGGTGCTTTTTCAAGAGGCAACTGGACTATCTTGTTTTCTTTGAAGACGTTTTGCTTATCCAAGAAGCTTCTTCAGCTTCATGGATGAGAAGCAAAATGTCTTCAAAGAAAACCAGAAATTCCAGTTGCCTCTTGAAAAAGCACCTTTGGGACAATCATGACCTGTATGACTGAGAATCTCCATAGACATTATCAGTCTTATGATTTCATTCTTACTTTCATATCTCTTAACTTTGTTTAAAATCAAATGGACTTTCATATGACATGGTGGAGACAGAGAAAGGGCACTCAAAGTAATCCATATTCTGTTCTTGTGTTAATTAGATGTCCATCACTGCTCATGTTCACAGTCGATCACATTCAATGTCAGGATTTGAGGGCAAGTCATCAAAAACAACCAAACCCTCTTTTCTATTTACTGGGGGAGGCGTATTAGAATGACTCCCCTTCTCTGAATCAGAATGCAGGGCAGGCTGTGCATTTATTGTCTTCTTCTCTTCTCCACGAGATAGAGAATTGTCCACTTTCTGCTTGAGGATCTTGAACTGTTTGAGCTTTACGGGGTCCTTGATTTCCTTGGCAAAGTGGAAGAAGATGGAGATATCTTTTCGGAATTTGGAGCTCATCCCAAAATAGATGATAGGGTTATAAAAGCTGGCGGATTTTGCAAAAAGGCTGGCAAAGATGCTGGTTAAGTTGGGGACGGTGTAACCACAGGCAGACCACATGGAAATGACAGCATATGGGGACCAGGCAGCAATGAAACATGTGCAGACAACAAGGGAGATCTAGATGAGAGAAGACGGAAGAATGAGACTGGTTGGTTTCCATTTCCATGCCCAACAGCTTAGTCAATTTAGATTTACTGAATGTTATGTTAGAAATCAACAATTTGGAAGAAGGGGCAGCATTGCTGCCTGCTAAGTTTTGGGGTCCTAAGCCAGAGCTTACTTGGCTTTAACCTAAAGTTGGCTCTCCCAGAAGCCATGGTCTGCATAGTTTGCCTTGTCATTTTTCTTGTGCACTTGCACACCAGAAGAGACAAAGAAAAGTCAAGTTGGTTCTTGCTCCTTTTTCAAAAGCATTGCACACACAACACATTAAAAAAGGAACAAGGCTTGATTCATGCAGTTGTAGCTGCCATCTTGACTTTCTTGACCTACATGATTGACCCTGTTATTCACAATAAATATCAGAACATGTAATTTAGGAAGTCTTTTATAACCTACTCTTGAGCTACATTTAAGCATAATGAATTTTATTTGGGGGGATTTGGCTTTCAAATTGATTGGGATAAGAGAAAGAGATCTTTTTGTAATGGTTCCATGCATTTATCCTAAAAGCCTCTTCAGCTTGGTTTCTTATCCTAAGTATCAGTCTAAATATAACTGTAAATCAATTGATAAATCGATGTCATGATTCTCTATTTATAGGTGTCTTATTGCCTTATGCTGCATTGCTGTGGATTACCAAGAGAGAAAGAAAATAACATATGGGAAAAGTACCAGGGGTGAAATTCAACAGGTTCTGACAGGTTCTGGAGAACCAGTAGCGGAAATTTTGAACAGTTCGGAGAACCGGTAGTAGAAATTTTGAGTAGTTTGGAGAACTGGCAAATACCACCTTTGGCTGGCCCCAGAGTGGGGAGGGAATGGAGATTTTGCAGTATTCTTCCCCTGCCACGGTCACCAAGCCACGCCATGCCACGCCACACCACACCACACCCACCAAGCCACGCCCACAGAACCGGTAGTAAAAAAAATTGGATTTCACCACTGAACAGTACCATATCTGGGCTGCAAAGATCCCGACTGACCATTGAATGGCAGCAGAGATTTGTCCACTATATCTTTGCTGACCAGATATGATAGCTATGACGATGGAGTTTTTGCAATTTTGTTTCAGCAAGAGAAAAATGGCCAGACCTTACCCTGGTAACGCTTTGTTCCATCCTCCGCTGCCTATCCGTTGGGTCACCCATTCCACTTAATGCATGGCTTGACTTAACTGTATTGATGATGGACGTGTATGAGAAAACCATGACTATCACAGGCACAAAGAAACAGCAGATGAACACTGACACAATGTAGGACTTATATGTGGTTGAGAAATTGGCCTTTGTCCAGTCGATTTCACATGTTCCGTACATCCGGTCTAGGAAGCAGGAGAACTTGGTTCATTGTACAGTTTTTAAACCAGGTCATTTTTAACTTTTGCATTTTAAAAAACTACTCTGCTGGGGGGATTTTTACTAGAGGGAAAGGTTAGAATGTCTTACTTAAGGTATGTCAAAGATTACAGTGAAATGTATATTGGAAAGTCAAAGAACTTTCTATTGGGAAGACTATGACATTTTTACCATAGTGACTTCCTTCCTTCCTTCCTTCCTTCCTTCCTTCCTTCCTTCCTTCCTTCCTTCCTTCCTTCCTCCTTCCTCCCTCCCTTCCTCCCTCCCTCCCTCCCTCCCTTCTTTCAATACAGAAGTGATAACTGATTTGGTGGCAGCATTAACAAAGATATACTCCAAGAGATACTTGGACATGCAAAATAATTTGAAAAAAAAAATGAATTACCTGTATAGCTCCCCCATCCCAAGAGTGGAGCAAGTGACCAGAAGAAAGCTGTTGTCCAGATAAGAAAAATAGCAAAGGAGACAGTGCTCAGGCTGATACAATATACTGAAATAAACACCAGAAATGGGGTTTTAATACTTTCACAATGATATAATAATAATAAAGAATGTTCCATCAAGAAATTAGGAGAGCCAGTTTGATATAGTGGTTAAGGGTACTGGCCTAGAAACCAGGAGACTGTGAGTTCTAGTACCATTTTAGGCATAAAAGCTGGCTGGGAAACTTTGGGCCAGTTATTCTCTCAACCCATCTCTCTCTCTCTTTTTTTTTTTAAAGACAAGCTTTATTAAATTTTTCTTTTACATACATATTTTATGAACAGAGTATTGACCGGGTCACATTTTTTACAATTTATAACGTAATTATATATTGATTTTTATAATCTCTTCCAATCTTCTTTTTTCTTTTTTCCAGATACAATTTACATATTTCATTTTCTGTCATAATATTCTTTTTTCTCTATTTTTTATCTTATCTTAATTTCTTCTTAATACTTAATATATAAACAGTATCACTATCCGCCCTTCAAATCCTAATTTCTTAGCATTGCTTCAATTATTTATCTTATTTCTCCATTTATAAAATATATTTCTTATAATCCCCATCACATTTTTTGGTTATAAACAATAAACTTCATCTTATTCAATTCTTACATTGAAACCCTTTAACTTAATTGATCTTCCACATCTTATCTGATCTCTTCTTAATACATAATAAGCAATATCACTCTCCGCCCTTAATTCCTGACTTCTATTATAGCATCCATTAATTATTTTATTTCCTAATTTGCAACATGTTATGTCAAAATCCCATCACACTTTTTTTTACATTTCAATTTTGTATCTTAATTTCAATTATTTTCATAATTAAACCTAATTACCACTTCATATTTCATCTGCTGTTCCATTTTACAATACACAATATTATTATATTTACTTTTTACATTCACAATTACTATTATTAATACAGTTCCCTTAGATCTACTAATATATATCTTAATTCCTTTCCACTATTCTTCCCCTTTTAGCCATTTTCTCCTGGTCTCACCAGAATTCCATTTCTTAATGATTTTCTCCTTTCATCCTATTTTCTTTTCTTCTTCTTCTTTTTTTATTTTTATATTTATTATATCTTTTATCCTGAATCCTTTCTCTAACTTTTGAGTCAATCACTCTTATAATTCGCCCCCCTGCTGTTACCTAATCTTTTCCCATTTCCTTCTCTTCCCTTACATTGCTTTTTTGGGGGGAAATATTCCCCCCTGTCCATTCTTTTTTTGCCACTGTAAATCCCAGTGCAATCATTTAACATTTTGCCTTCAATTCTTTTTCCGTCAATATCATTTTCTTGTTTCTCATTTATATTCTCTTTTTCCTGTTTTGTGTGCTCTAACAAAGTTTCTGACTTTTTATTGCCCTTTATTGATTCACGCACATTTTTAAGTATCTCAATTAATTCCTCACACATCCAAGACTCCATATTATTAGTTTAAAAGATTATTAGTATTTCCACTTATATTTAAAATTTTAGTCCATATAGTCTCTTTTTTATTTCTAGATAATATCCAGTACAAATGTTTGTCCAATCCACTCCAACTTAAAGCTTTATTATTGTCCACCTCCTTTAGAAGTCGAGACCAAGCAGCTTAAAACAACAACAACAACAAAAAACTTCTTAAAATTTCTCACAGCTCTTATAGTGATCAAGGTCAATGTTGTAATTTCCTTGAATTTTCAAGTCAGTCAGCAGATGTCTCTCTCCAATCCACAGTTCTCAGAATAACAAAGTATCCAGTTTACAAAAGTATTTTAAATCCACATAGAAAATACTTTCTCTCAAATTGCTTTTCTTTTTATTGTTTTTAATTTCTCCAAATTCAGTTTTAAATCCAGTTGTAAGATTTCCTTTCTTGGGCTTTAATATGTTAACCTCCTCTTTGTTCTTCCTTCATATTTCAAAACTGTTAAAATTCTTTCAAATCTTCATTAAAAAAATACTTTCCCTCAGGTTTCCTTTTCTTATATTGGTTTTAATTTCCCCAAGTCCAATTTTAAATCCAAATATAAAGTTTTCTTTTCTGGGCTTTAATACTTTGACTTCTTCTTTGTTCTTTTCCCTCCATTAAAATTCCCAAGTGCCAATTAGACTCTTGTTTCCTTGCTGGGATCTTTTAAAGTTTTTTTTAAAAAAAGAAATTTCATTTTTTTACCTGTAAGTTGGCCAATCACTCACCTGGTACCAGTACTCCGCCCAAACATTCCTCCTGCACGAAATCTTATTCCGATTGCCCCAGCTTCAAAGCAGTCATTTTTAACGGCCGCTGCCCTTCCATCAGCTCGAAGAGCTGCCTCTGACCTTCTGAGGAACTTGCCTGTTCCTCTTGGTCGTCCAAGGCACCTTTCCTTCTTCACCGTCCCTACAAGATGGTTCCAGTCTGAAGACCTCCCAAACAGCAGTTTGTCTGGCTGGATTTTCGCTGGGCTCTTTGGAGCCCGCTAATTTCCAGCCAGTCTCACTGCGACGCTTCCGGTTTTCTCTCTCATCCCATCTCATAGGGTTGTTGTAGGGAAAATAGAAGGAAGAAGGTGTATTATGTATGTTTGCTGCCTTGAGCTACCTATAAAGTAATAAATGCGGGATTTAAAAAAAAAAGCCAAATTATCATTTAGAATTCCAAGACAATTTGACTTCTCAATTGTGAATATTTTGAAGGACAAAATAATGTTCATACAAAAATATTTGAATTGTAACTCTGCTTATTTCTCCATATCATGTCTTCCAATTTAACTTTGAAGAAAAGTTATGTCACCGAAACCTCTATTGAACTAAAGAATATGACTTAGAATAGCCACTCATCCAGTAATAAAAGTAATGTGGGTTGAAGGACACAGAATATTCTTTTTATGCCTTTTATATTCTCTAAATCCAATATCGACAAAGAAATCGTAATGTAATAAATAAAATTAAATAACAACCATGGCCCATAAAACAAAGAGATTTGGATACTGATAGAAGAGAATATTTGTAGCACAGGGCTGAATTGTGGGGTCCTTGGTGCTCTCTGAGCTTGGTGGATTTTTTTGTATATGTCATGATGATGTTACCTAGTTTGTAATGAAACATCTGCTAGAAAACCACTAAGCTCTGAGAATATCAGGACCCCACAGATTTGGGTACACCTATCATTGGAATGAACAAGCTGTGCATTAGGATTACTGAATTCTTACACCCACTTTCCTGAGAGTAATCCCCACTGATTTTTATAATAAGGCCATCCACATAAGCAATGTACACAATTACTGATGTGCACTGATAGATTTATGACCACAATTGAGTCCAAAATTTCTGTTGCTAAGTGAAACATTTGTTAGTTTTGCCCCATTTTACGGCCTTTCTTGCCACAGTTGTTAAGTGAATCTCTCCAGTTATTAAGTTAGTGACATGGTGGTTAAGTGAATCTGGCTTCCTCATTGGCTTGAAGGTTGCAAAAGGTGATCACATGACCCCAAGATACTGCAACCATCATAAAGATGAGTTAGTTGTCAAGCATCTGAATTTCGATCATGTGACCATGGGGAAGCTGGAATAGTTGTAGGTGTGAAAAATGGTCACAAGTGACTTTTTTCAGTGCCATTGTAACTTCAAATGGTGACTAAAAAAGCCCTTGGACCAAAGTATTTGAACAATAGTCTATTAAAAAATTCTGATTTTTTAAAAGTCTTAAAAACTTTTTTAATAGTGCAAATATAGTTGAGTGAACTTTATATTTCCTAAATCTCTTACCTCTGTCGGGATGACACCCTTTAATATAGCGAGTTACACTAATCACCGTGAGTGTATTAATACTGGCGAGGCCAAACAGCAATGTCAGAAATCCATCAATCTAAATAAATACATAAATGTATAGATTAGAGCAATGCTTTCATTTCAGCAACTTTAAGACATATAGATTTGAACTCCCAAGATTCTCCAGCCAGAGAATTCTGGAAGTTGAAGTACATACTGTATGTCTTAAAAAGTTGATGAGGCTGAGAAATGCCGGATTAGAGAGAAGTGACACCTCTTGGTTTTAGAATACCAAGCGAAATAGCAAATATTCCAGGCTGTATCAATGTAAGGATGTATCATCAAGGAAAGTCTTCACGTTTAAATCATTGAATATGCAGATATTCTAAGCAACAATAATAAAACAAAATCAGGCATACAGTGTGGATGAAATATATGTTAAATGAACACGTAAACCCACTCTCTGAGTTATACAAAAGGGGAAAAACAGGTTGTTTTTTTACACAGATATAGAAAAAGACCATGAAACTGCCAAAGTTAAGCATTTATAATTGCTGTTATGTAGAAGAACAACAACCAGAGCCAAGGGACGGAGATAAGTGAGTCATCAACTAGAGTTGTTACATTCCTACAAACTAAGTTCAACTGCTCTTAAATTCCATTGACCCTTATCTAGCACTGAACGTTAGTTTACTAGATTATTTGCACACTCTTGAACAATAAATCTTCTTGCCTGAAATTTAACATATGATCCTGATTCTTTGCTCCTGACATGTTCCTTGCTATAGACCAGTGGTTCACAAACATTTTTTGGCCATGCCCCACCTAAGCATCTCTAAAATCCTGATTCCCCCCCCCATGACATATAATACTTATTATTCAAAAAGTGACTCCTACTCACTGTGGAGGAAGCCTAAAAGGCCATTGACTTGGTTTAAACAAGATCCCAATTGCCCCCATTAAAAATCAAATTGCCCGCCTGTGGGGTGTGAGCCCCACATTGGGAACCACTGCTATAGACAAAAGTTACTAACAGGAACTTTGAAATGCAAATTCTGGATAGAGCACAGTCAGAAGACTTAGAAACTAAGAAAAAAATAGTCATACTGCATATTTTCATGGCAAATCACATGCTATGAAAAATATATGATATGCCAGGCAGAGGCAACTAGGGAGGTGAGGATGTAGGGGAAAAAAGTCAAGAAAAGCTTTGATTTTGTGTTTGTGGCCACCATCTTGGCTTCTCTGACATCTCTCATGGATGCCACTGGGCACTGTCAACCCAGAATGCAAAATATAACCATTCTTCAAAATGTGTTGTTTTCTATACCTGAAAGAAGCAGCTACTTATTCTTCTATAAAATGTTCTAAGAGTGTTCATTAAAGAGAGTTCTTTAAAATGTGCAGAGCTTCTTGAACTTGAATGGAAGTGGTATATGAACTATAGTTAATTTGAACTGTAATATGGAATTATATATAGAGGAAGTACTAATAAGATTATTGATTCAGTGAGGGATAATTAATTATGAGATAGTTTATTAAACAAATTGGATGGTTGAAGAACACATTAATTGACTAAGAATTGATCTAACCTTTGTGGCTTGGTGGCCTGACTGCGGAGGGAGGGGATTTGGGTCGTGCGAGTAGTGAGCCCTTGCACGAGTGATGGGCCAGTGTGCATATGCATAGTTTAATTTACACGAGCTGTGGGTCAATTCCGAATAGCCCAGAGGTTGTGGGCCCCTGATCTAAGCAATCTGGAGTAGTGTCCAACTTCATTATGAATGTTTGCCTTGCCTTCTTGGAAATGTTCATTCCAGAAATTAATTATATAAATAAATATTAAGAAATGCAGATTTCTACTCGAATTATTGTCCTTTTTATATTTATTTTCCCCATAGTTCACATCTGTTTTGCGGCAATGCATAAATATTTCCCTTTAGAACTTATGTTATCTGATTCAAAATCTTAATTCATGTTTCTATCTTAGAATACAGTGAATGAATTAACTTCAGGTAAAAAAAACACAAGAGGTTGACTTTGAGCCAACTTCTAACTTTTTGCATGGTTATTGTCACCTGGCAACATGGTTGTCTTAATCAATGTTTACTGGGATCATACTGCATTCACTGAGCCTTAAAGCATGCCTTACAAACCACAGGGTTGGCCCAATGCTTGAGATCATACAACTTGTAGACTCAAAACCAAAGAATCCAAACAAACATAGGTTAGTTAATACAATTACTGATTGGGAGGAAAAAATGCAGTCAGCGGGCAGAAGGAATTTGATGTTCTTGAATTTGTTCCAAGAACAAATCTTACTCTTCAAATATCAAGCAGCATTGTTGGATTTGACATCTCCAAGTTTGTGGTTGGAATAGTTTTTCTATTTAATGAAGTTTTCTATTCAGTGAAGAAAGGATGAAAGTAATGATTGACTTTTTTGTACAAGAATGTACATCAAGAATGTTTAGCTAATTTCATTATTGACTCTCTTGGCTTTTCATTTTTGTGATTAGAAAATATGAACAGATTGCCAGTTTTACACTAAGACTGCTCTTTCTATAATATAGGGATTCATTAATTTTTACCTATGAATTGCCTACGTGTTAAGCAAAACAACCCATATAATCATCATACTGTATTTATATAATTTTCTTCTTGTGCTATATGCAGTGATGGGATTCAGCCAGTTCGCACCCCTTCGGGAGAACCAGTTGCTAACTTTCTGAGCAGTTTGGTGAACTGGTTGTTGAAAGAAATCATTAGGGCAGAGAACCGGTTGTTAAATTACTTGAATCCTACCACTGGCTATATGCATTAGTATCAGAATTCTCAGAACTCAAGTCCAGTATGTTTCCTCTCAGGATAAAGTGAACAAGATTACATCCAAAACCAGAATTGTGTTTTCTTGGAAGACTGTCAAATAATTAACAAGAAAAGTTCATAAGAATTCTTTATGAAAGTTGATCTTTTAGTCTGTCTCTCCATCATAGTTCTGCTCCTGTGCTTTTAACAGTGCCCTAAAACATAAGACTTGTATGTACTTTTGCAGGATGCAATCTAATCTGTTTCAGATAAGAAGAGATAATAATGTTATATAAACTGGGCCTTTAAAGTCCTGGGTTTAACCTGAACCTTTAACCTTTGGTGTGGTGGGTGAAGGCATGAAGTCAGAAATTTCCTTAGGCACAAAGGCTGCCTTGGGATGAATTTGGGCCAGTCCCAAAGTTTTTCGTCAAAAAACTTTGACAAAATAAATAAATGCAGGGACCTGTCCAAAGAATCAAAGATGACTGATTGAAATTAAAAAAAAAATATGGAAGATGGCCAGACTGAGTTTCAGCCAGTTACTTCGCATTTAACTTTATATTCCATATTGGCAGAGCAAACTGTGTTTTGTTGAAAATATCACACCAATAAATGAACTGTTGTTTGAGTTGATCAAAGCCAGTTTTGCTGCACTGGCAACAGTACCTTAGAGCTATTCCTGGCCATGAAAAAAGATTTGAAGTTATTGGTAAGAAGGAACATACTTTATGATCAAATTCAATGAATTAGATATCAATATAATATGATAATGTGTAGCCCTCAGAATCTGGCCCTCCCAACTTGTCTTTTTAGGAGATCACGAACCACTAGGTCACATATTCCTAGTGATTCAACTACAGAATTTACCCTCCAGGTCTTTGACATTTTCCCTGTCAATTTGATAAGTGTTATTGCTTCATTTAGATATATGTCTATATAATCTCCCATAACTGTTCCTTTTAAGAAAAATATATTATAGGTATACACTTTATTCTGAGACAAGATTTTAATCTTTTCAGTTGCTCTTTTGAACTATTGTCATGGAATAAAGAAAGTACATTTGTCATGTTATAGCTAAAAGATTTATTCTTTAGCATAGGAAGGACAACTTTTGGTCTCAATTACTTTATGGTCTATAGACAATGTTATTAGCATATGGCCATATTAATGGATTATTTAATTAGATGGTAGATGTGGATTAATATAATGATACGTGGTAATAAAATGTGTCTAGAAGACGAAATTATGGTGTCATTCAATGTTACAGGTCTCTTTATGTCCAGAACTCATGAAATAATCCATGGTAGCAGTACTACACAACACAACTGATCCAGCCAAATATAGTAAGATTGAAATACCTGGAGTCATGGGCCTCATCAACCTATGTTTCACCACCTAATTTCAGTTTGAAGGACAAATATTCCAACAAATCAGAGAAATAATCACCTAACACAAGCTATGAAAATGATAACACTGTTATAGATCAAAAACATCTCAGAAACAACCTATAGACCATTGCAACCACACGCCATCATTGCAGCAGAAAAACCAACTAAAGCCCTCCAAAACATCTTAAGTAAACCAAATGACCCAGTAGTCCAAGATAAAAAAAATGGTATCGTCTGCAACAGACAGTAGAAGGACTGTAGCAACCAGTCTGTAGGACAGACACACAGAAGACTAGCAGAGCACATCCATGAGTGATCACTAGCAGATGGCGAAAAAACCTCCTTAATCTCACAAGAGACTTCTGAGACAGACTTAATCATAGTTTCAACTGAGAAACTACGAGCATACTAAACCAACCTAAATCCAAAACAGCTAGATAATTCCTAGAAGCTTATATTTCAGACAAATCTACCATCAATCTATACATAGACATAAACCCGTATTTTCCCGCCATTCAAAAGAGACAACACAAAACCTAAGAAGGAAACAAAAGAACACATCCTCTCCATCAACCAAATAACCAGGAATTAACACCACAAAAACAATCAAGCAGAAAAGGCTATCCTAATCAAGGAACTACCAAGGAGAAAACCACATACCCACTAAAACTGGAAAGGCATACTACTGTATATAATCAGGGAACAAAACCAGCTCTCACTAGCACTGATGATGTTACCTGATCTCTCCCCCTCTCTCTTTCTTTCCCTACATGTTTGTTTCTTTTTTCTTTTGTACCTCAAACACTTTCAGGGAGACAGTTCACAAGCACAATGTTAATTGAAATGGTATGTGATCTATCTCCCATGTAACCTGCATCTGCATAACTAACTTCCTCTCCCTTCCTCCCCTCCACCTCACCTCCATTTAAATCCTATATCAGTTTAGCCATTATAAAACTCCACCAAGATTCCAGATTTTTTGTTACTTTAGATTAACATGGCTCCCTTCCTACAATGTTCAACATTGACCACAGGCAAGATATTTAAGGTCATCCTATGCATGCTATGCTGTGCTGTGCGGTGCATATGCACGTATGTATGTTTTTCTGCAAGATATTTTTCTTGCTTTCTATATTGGACTTCTCAAGAAAATCTGATAGCATACTATAACTACAGTTTATAAAGGGTGCTAACTCATGCTTTCAATTTTCTTGCTTCAGGTTTAAAACATTTAAAAATAGAATGTTATGTGCTGGCAAAGGTTTGATTTATAAAGTCAATTGTTCCAGACAAAATTATAACGAAGGAAACATTGACAGGAGAAGGATTTGACAATTCCATGCCCCAGATTAAGTGATAGGCAACATACCCTTCTGCATTAAGAAATGTCCGCAAAATGGCTTTTCAACTACAAAATGGGGAGAAGTCTCCATATGTTCTACTTAACTATAATAATTATTATAATTATTATAATAATAATTATTATAATTAAATATAATTATTACAATTATATTATAATATATATTATTATTATATTATAATTAATTATAATAATCAGTGTGATCATATTACACAGCCTTAAATCCATTTTAATTCAATATTTATGTAATCTGAGTAACAGTTTTTAAAAAAATGAAATATTTGTTTTAGCATCTTAAGATAAATAGGATGTAAGAATGATATTTATTACTTAATGATGTGTATGATATATGTGTGTGTGTGTGTTTGTGTGCAGATGTGGGCAGCGGTGGGATTCAGCCAGTTCGCACCACTTCGGGAGAACCGGTTGTTAACTTTCTGAGCAGTTTGGTGAACTGGTTGTTGGAAGAAATCATTAGGGCAGAGAACCGGTTGTTAAATTATTTGAATCCCACCACTGGATGTGGGCTTCCCTTGCTTTATTCTAGAGTTACATTTCTTGAAAACTTCACATAAAGCAAAATTTAAAGTTGTGATCGTGTGAGGTCCTTGCTGAATGATCTGCACAGTCCTCATTTAATAATGGCTACGGATAGTGCTGGAATTGCCGTTGCTAAATAGCACTCATGTGGTTTTTGTCCTATGGCCATGTCACTCAACAACAGTTTCTGGTCCCAGTTAGCATAATTAAATAAGAACCACCTGCATTTTAGAAGTAGATAGTAGATATATAGACAATATAACTGGAAAAATATGAAAATAAAGTTATAGTTGCTTAGGCAATGGATCTGTGACTTGTCTAACTTGTGTCTAAACCAGGGGTCAGCAACCCACGGCTCTGGAGCCACATGTGGCTCTTTCATCCCTCTGCTGCGGCTCCCTGTTGCTGGTCAGCTCCACAATTAATAGGGCTTTCGGTTAGGACAGGTAGAGGAAAAAGGATGCCGCGCTAGGAGGAGACTCTATTGTGGGGGAACTGGACTTCCAGTCAGCAGAGGTAAAAGGACGCCACACTAGGAGGAGACTACAATAGGGGAATCAGATTTCCGGTTGGCTCCAGAATTGAACGGGGGCTTCCAGTTAGGACCTTTGTGGCTTTCTGAGTGTTTAAGGTTGCCAACCCCTGGTCTAAACACTTAATAGTTGAAATAATGTTATTATTATGCCTATATATGTTGCAAATAAGGGACAAGAGACTATAAAAAAGAGGCAGGGATTTGATTTCATAAGCTCTGCCACCCTTTTAAATTCTGACAATCCCTGGTTGATGCTCTTGACAGTAGGTTTCACATTGTGTGATGTTTATCTTCCACAATTGCACATTAGATCAAATGGACGGCTTACCTGACAAGTCCATATTGATGTAACAAGGAAGCCATCATCTCGAAACACATTGAAAATGTCAATGATTCCACGGGAATAACCAAAGATAGCAATGCTGCCATCAGACACAGCCAGATTAAATGTCAAGTAATCAGTGGGTTGAAGAACAGCTCGTTGTTTATATAATACAAAAATTACAATGCTATTCCCAATCCAAGACATCCAACCTGGAATATAAAGTTAAATAAAATATGTGAAACTGCATTCATCTAAACCAAGGCAAATTCTGCTGAGGGATTCTTCAGGGATTACATAAAGAATTTCCTATTTGGGGGCTACTTGTGAAATTACTTCTCCGCAAAATGTATATTGCACTTGCTCTAAAGGAAAGTTTAAGTTCATATCAAAAGAATATGAAGGTAGGAACAGAATAACAGAGTTGGAAAGGAATCCAGTCCAACCCCCTGGTCAAGCAGGAGACCTTATGCCATTTCAGACAATTAGCTGTTCAGTCTCTTCTTAAAAGTTTCTAGTGTAAAAGATTGTAAAAGACTATAAAAGACAATCCGTTATATGCCTCCTCTTCTTGAACATCTTGTAATATTTTAAAAGGAACATCAATCAAAATACCTCTTTTAGATTATTAGGCCTTCTCACATCTGGGAGCAGAAGACATTTCAGAAATATTGGGCTCACCAAAGTTAACTGGGGGATACCATTTTGTACTATTATGATTTTCGTTATGGAAGTGCTAACTAGAATTTCAAACTGCTGAATAGCAAAAGCTACATAACCCAAGAAAAGAATAAAAGGAAATAAATACCCAACTTATGCAACAATTTGAATAAAATGATCAAAATACAAGGCAAACGTATCTACTAAAATAATAAAAAATAAATGTAAAATATAAAATATGTTTTTTAAGCAGAAATGGCTGAAATAGAAAATTATAGACATGTTAAAACTCTAAATGATTAAAATGCTGAAATACTCAAGTATTGAAATGCAAAATTATTCTACTAGATACAAGAATGTAAGGCAGCATTTCAGATTGTAATTCAAAAGGCAATTTGGGGTAATTTGTGCAGAAATATAGCATCTGTGTTCAACCCATTGAAATAGCCACATCTAGCAGAGCCCTACCTGAATATATAAATTCTCAAATGCTACAATAGTTATCCTTAAAATATCCTTTACTGTTTCTTCCAATCAGGCCTTCTCTTCTTTGTAGTATTGCTTTATCACACAAAATTAATTTTCACAAAGTCAGAAAGAAACACCACAATGGCAGAGGTGGAACCAACGAAAACCAAGAAAAACCAAGGAACAGACAGAAAGTGGACCTCTTGCCCATTATGAAGGCCGAGGAAGAGGATCAAAATAATGTAATGACTGATTCTGTAAATATCCAGAATGGGACAATTGAGCCTGGCTGTTTCATCTGACCACCACTTCTGCCCCAGCCGACCCACTGTGGCCATCCCTCTCCCACTAATTCTCCCCTGCCACTCCAAAACAGCAGTCATTAAAACTCTTAAAACACACCAGTCATTGGAACTCTTTGGTAACAGTAGCCTAGATTTTCTTCAATGGATACTTCCTTATAGGAGTTTTCTGAGCTTGCCTGATTAGTTCCAGTTCTGTCTGGCAGTTGAAGCCAGGCAAAATTAATTCCTCTAGGAAACTTACCAGCTGCTTCTGTCTCTGCAACACAGCAAAAACAGCTGGAATTTTGAATACATAGCCCAGCAGTCAACTTGACTCTTTTGATATCACTCTCAGATAACCTTGAGAAGGTTACAAGTAAGAATGCTTGAATAACAATGGACTAGAACTAGTAAATGGCTTGCATTAAACAATTTAGTTTTGGAAAGAAAACTATTTGCAACTCAAGCTTCATCAATTTCAAGTCCAATTTACCTGAAGAGCATACTGGATTGATAATCCTGTCTTCCTCTCCCACCTTTTCAAATTCTTGTTTACTTTAAGATAAACATATATTATTGTTCTGCTCTCCTAACAACTGCATAAGAAAAGAGAATGGACTCTCATTCTTTAATGTAGTGGTCTATTTTAAACTTTTCCTATATATTTCATTTCATTAAGCGGAGAGACACCATAACCATACATACCCAAAGCGAGCAGATAAAAGCCAATAATAGTTTCTCCTTGTTCTGAGATTGGGTGGTCTTTGTTTAAAAAAGTAAGATTGTTGTTTCTCCAGGGTGCTTGACCAGAAATCTGAAAAGACATCTTCAGGTTTCCTAGAACCCAGAACTTGCTGTTTCCCTTCACTCCAGGATAAGCCACACAGAAGGAAGCTGAGCTTTATCTATTTCAAACCTCTGCTCTATATTGTTCAGAGACGAGATTGGAGACTGGTAGCAAAGGGGAAGCTAAGGCAAAGAGTAGGAGCTTTGCTGTCTGCTGCATTTGCTAATCCTGTCTATTAATACCCAGCAATCGCCAAGCTGTGCTAGACAAAGACATAAGAGTTTTTATTCATTACCTGAGGCTATTACATGTCAACACCCTTTTAGTGTGCAAACAGTGTGCCTATACTTTATAAAATGACCATGTCAGAGAAAACCTCAATGTTCATCTCATGAGCAAATCAATACCCCCAAATTTGGCCTGGTAGCACAACATTCTTCTTCCTTCACTGAAAAAGAAAACTTTAATTTAATGGCTAATAAATCATATATGCAAGGTTATCTAGGCTACAAACCTCCAGACAATCACCAGATTTCATCAGAGAAGTACAGACAATTCTTAAGTTTTGCTGCCATCAGGTGTTCATCTAGATGTTTGAAGACAAACTGTGGTAGTCCTGCATGTGTTTGGAATCCATTACTGCCAATCACTATAGATTTCTCCCTCTAAGGTTGTATGGTGATTCTCTTGGCTATCACTTGTGTGTGAAACATCCACAGTTGTGTTTTTATAGATTCCACATCTTACAGATATAATCAAGCAGGATATACTGTACTATATGTCCTTCACTATCAATAATCAAAACGAAGTTAACATTTCTATGGCTTCCAGTATTTTATTTTACAGAAATCCTGAAAAGGGAACAAAACTATGCCTAAAGTTTCCATAGAAGCACAAGCCTTTTAATAATTGTAACAGTTCAGATACCAAATTCCTCTTAATCATGAAATTATATTGTATGCCTTTGGTTAAACCACTTTGGCTGTTTAAAATAAGAAACATCTGCAAAACAATGCAAAATTTAAAACTACTCTGTGCCTTCTATTTCAGTACTTCTACTCTTTGTGATGGTTTGTTTTGTTGAAAATTCTTCACTGATACAGTGATTAAAATATGAAGGGATAATAATATTGAGCACTAAATATAAGCATGTATAATACACCACCAAGTAGTTTTACTTAGATTCAGGACAATAAACCTGAATATCCATTTTTTTAGATGTAGCTTATTATTAATGATAATTCTATGAATTGAATATTGCTAAGAATTCACATTATTTTGTCTCTTGCAATAATATTATACTTGGAAGAGGGTATTTAGTCTTCAGGCTACTGGCAGCAGAGCCATTTTTCCACTTTATCCTGGCAGAAGCACAATCTATCCACCATCTCTGAAAGGTAGGAATTTATGACATTTCCTATTCCTACCCTCAGTAAGCAGCTAAAACAGTCTCTGCCTTGGTTTTTGGGCTGCAGATTGAAAGTAGATTTTTCCATCTTGTGCTTACTATCTTTTACTATATCAGGAATTTCTTGAGTCCTTATTTCCAATTGGCTAATAGCCCCCTGGTAGGAATATCCCCTTTTTTGGTTCAGGAAAAAGAGTAAAATTGTGCAGGTTTCTTTTTTTTTCTATTGATCCAGGAAGGGGAAAGAAGTGGAAAAATTCACCAATTAGCATTACAAAAATGGTCAGGACAGAAATCCATCCATCCCAGCAGCTAAAACAAAGGAAAGGGTTGAAATCTGGAAAGAGATGTCCTAAAGTAGACTTGTCTCCAGCCACATTATCCACCAGAGATAAGCAACTGCAATATAGAGATACTGCTACTCTAGCTACTTACTCAGTGAACAACTAAAGCATCCCTCAGATTATTTGAATATAGTCTGTGAAAGGAACACATCATATCCTTGATAAATATTCATTACTCACATTATTAGGAATTTTTGATAAATGTTCAATCTGAAACTTAATTCCTATAATGTTAGATTATTAATTTATATCTTTCATCCTGGGGCAATAGAAAATTGTTATTGGCATTCTGTGTAAATAACTCCTAGGGTACTTGAAGGGTACCATCTCAGTCATTTTTCTCAAGGTTAAAAATTGAGGTTCTCCTTTATTCTTTTCAATATATGGAATGAAACTCTTTCTTTGTAAGACTTAGGTTCAAGTCATTTTTCCTTCTTTCTTTGAATTTATAACAGTTTCTTTGAATTTTTTTTTTTTTTTTGGAAAATATAGTGCCCAAAACACAACAGAACACAATACTCAAAATGGGATCAAATGACTGGCACTATTATTTCCAGTGATTTGGAACTATTTTTATTGAGTCTAAAATTATATTTGTCCTTTTAGAAATCATGTAACTAGAGTTCTAGAATCTTTCATACATTCATACATTAGCTATCTCACCTGAATTGCAACTTCTGTGACTTAGGTAAACTCTTTCTCCCACCTCTTTACCCTAAATAAAAATGTTGAAAGTAAAAAGTCTAGAACCCTAAGGCACTGGAATTAATACTAGTTAATATGAACTGATGATCAACATTTGTCGAGTGCAGATTTTGAGCCTACTGTGTATCCACCTAATAGATGTTTGTAATAAAGGAAGAGAGATTACATCTCCAAAAAGTTCACATATGAAAGAAACACAGAAAAATAAAAAGCAAACCATGTAACATTAAAATATATACAGAGTGTATAAGATACAAAATATAAAATGGTGACCAAGCATTGTAACAAAACAACCAGAAAGGGATTCCCTTCAACTGAACCTTAATGTATGGGGGTGAAACTAGCATTTTATACCTCTTACAAGCAATAATTGCTTCTCTTTACATTTTATCCTTCATTTAACACAATTGCTATCTCTGAAAAGAAGAAAAGTGAATGAGGGAGATATAGTTGGTTAGTTTAGAACTGGTCCTTGATATTCATAGACAGTATTTTGCATTAAATAACTGCTCAAGATATAAAATAAAAATACCTTTACTTGGTTATTCATAGAAAATTTATACTAGTTTTTTTAGCTGCAATATATGTGGCACTTGTTCATTTGGTGAGACACCTGATATCAGTCATTGCCACACTATATCTACATTTATGATCTGGAACTTGTAAAAATAATGTTATGACTTAAGAAACCTGTCATGATATTCCAATATTAACTTTGCAATATTGTAAACCATACCCAAAAGAGTGGTTTAAAAAATGTTGCACCATTCCTATATCACTCAGAAGTCAATTACATACCAGAATGCAAGTTCAGAAAATAAGACATGGAAATAAATCTTTAAAACTCTCCAAGCTTATCTAATGGAGCTGTGGACTAGCTGGCTAAAGTAATGGGAACTGAAATACAATATATCTAGAGTACATCAGGTTTGAGAAATCTTAATATTTACAATTCTGAACGCTAGGGAGGATTGATGTTCATGACATCCACTTTCTCTTCAGGTGAACAGAATAGATATCAGATGGCAATTTCTGAGAAATTGAATTGATGGTAATCCTGGGTTTTTTTATGACACTATTAAAAGAATGGCTGATAAAAAGTGGGCATTTGGGCCAGGAAAAAAGAAAGAAAGAAAGAAAGAAAGAAAGAAAGAAAGAAAGAAAGAAAGAAAGAAAGAACTGCATTGTATATAATCTCATCCCATGAACAGTTCCGAAGAAATATAAAAAAGAAATATTTTGTGCAGAATCTGCCTTCTGACATATTACTCCAACTCATACTTTTATAGCAACTGCTTTTCTGCCAATATAGGATAACTTTTTATAATCAAACTAATAATATGTTCTTTATATGAGAAAGCAAATACTTCTGCTGATAATGGCATTTCACTAAGAAACATAGAAGCAGGCAGTAATTAGTGGATGCTAATGGTTCCTTTAAGAAGTTAAATCACTCTATGTGAAAAACTATGCATTCAGATTTGGATGTATATTGCTGGCAATCATGCAATCCTCTAAGGAAAATAGCTCTCCTCTATGACTTTAGTAGGTTATTGAAGGTTGAAGGCAATGTATATGAACAGTTTTCCACATGCCTGTAGGAAGAAACACTGCTGACAAGTTTGTGTGTGGTAAGAAGAGATTATGGAAATGTTGTATTTCAGACTTCTGTGAGCTCACTATTTGTATATATTTCTGCATCACCTGTCACTTGCTGTATAAATATAAAATATGTATTTGCCTCTTTGTAGATAAACATTAGTAAATTGAAATGCAAGTAACTGGGTCAGGACAAAAAAGATAAGACAGCAGCCACAAACACATGATTAAAGTTCCACTCCCTTTTTACATGCATCCTATGTGCTATGCATGCAAAAAATGTATGCATAGCACACATTTTGAGTGGTTTTGAGTGAATAGTTGTGACTATCTCTTTGTGACATTTTTGACCCTTCCCATCCCATTTTCTGGATTTTTGTTTTATCTGAAACATGGTTTCCTTTTAGGAAGCCCTTTCTCTCTGTATAGGGGGACTTCACCCTATATTATGAGATCTCTAATTTATTTTCAGGAGGTATTTTCATTCTTATATTTTTTAAAAAAAATATTATTAAATTATATATATATATATATCTGTGTACTTTACTGAGTTAAACATAAAAAATTAAATGACATAGAAAGTATGATACATAAACTAGTTTTTTTGGAATGCTGAGAAAATGGGATTTAAAAATAAATAGCTCACAAAATATTGTTTTACTAAAGCAGAAATAGACAAATAATTTGTGACCAAGTGTTAATTTAAGGACAAAAACTATTACCATTACCTTCCATGAATAGATTTGTCAATACTTCCCATGGATGTTCTTGTATCTGAGCTCCATTTCTATCATTTCATTATGAATGGCTGAAAATAATTTGTGGTCAAGTGGGCATACATCTGGTCACTGTGAATCGACTAAAGTTTGAGATTTCCCCTTCTGAGCAGATTAAATTTAGCACGTGCCACAGACATATATTGTATCTGGTATCGAAAATTTAATACAAAATAAGACATTGTAGATGGCTTTGGTTTTATATGTGTAGATAGAATTCTTTATTGGCCAAGTGTGATTGGACACACAAGGAATTTGTCTTGGTGCATACGCTCTCAGTGTACAGATCTGATGTCATGTTTTACAATTGTGTCACTTAGCGATGGCAATTCTGGTCCCAATTGCCATTGTAAGCCAAGGATTACTTGCAATTTCCCAGAATGGCTTTGGATTCTGTGAACATCTTACTCCATTATTAGATAATCATCTGTATGAATCCCAGTACTTTGTGAATCTGCCCATATGTCTAAAATAGAAACATGACAGGTGTCAAGATGTCTCTAGAGACAAAGGATATTAGATAAGAATTATTTATTATACTTAGCCATATCAAAAAGTTTGAGTGCGAAATGGTACAGGCTATACTTATTTTTATTTCAACTCTTCCTATCTTAGGCTTCCTTTTCTCACTTACCTTCTGCTTGTCTATTGAAGATGTTCTCTGAGCTCAGCTCTCCTTTCTAGATCAATGTTTCTCAACTTTGTCGATTCTAAGATGTATGGAGTACTACTTCCAGAATACCCTAGCCAGAATGCTGTGTTCCTAGACTTTTATTATCAGAGCTTGTAGATATTTTTATTTTTGGCTATCAATGTAGGGCCATCAGAGTAGTATCATCAACACAGCAGAAGCCCAGTTTTAAAAGGATGTTCCTCTTCCTTTAATATATATTCAATATATGGGATGAATAAATAAGAGGAGAGTAAACAGCTTTGTCTTATTCCTTAGCCAATCTAGAGCCAGTGTGTTACTCCATGTTCTGTCCTTGCTGTGGTTTCTTGACCTGTATATACATTTTGCAAGTAAATTTGGCATTATCCCATCACATTCTGTGATATGCACATCTTTCAACATGGTATATTCACTAGAAAGCAGGTTCGGACCGGATCACCTGATCCGGTAGCGATGGCGGCCGGTGGTTTGGAGAACCGGTAGCAAAAATCCCTCCCCCCTCTCCCCACACCATGCCCAGCTGAGCCGCAGGATCATCAGAGGCTTTTTTTTTACTTTTAAAAGCATTTTTCTACAACCTCTTCCGATGAAAAAATGCTTTTAAAAGTTAAAAAAAAAAGCCTCTGATGATCGCGTGGTTTAGCTGGGATAGTCAGAAGCATTTTTTTCTTCAACCTCTTGGCCGAAGAGGTGGTTAAAAAAATACTTTGAAAAGTCTCTGACGATCCCACCTGAGTTTCCTGATCGGCAGAGAGGTATTTTTTAAAATGGCTCTCTGAGGATCCCAGCTGAGTTTCCTGATCGGCAGAGGCTTTTCAAAGCATTAGAAAAAATGCTTTGAAAAGTAAAAAAAAAAAAAAATGGCCACGCCCACCCAGTCACATTACCACCACACCCCACCAAGCCACGTCCACAGAACCGGTAGTAACAAATTTTACATTTCACCCCTGCTAGAAAGTAATATAATACTTTTCTTAAAATTTGTTGCCACAGCATTGATTTTGAAAATTATGTATTTTATGCAACATTAGTGGTATGTTTCAGTATTTCCTTTAATTTTTTTATTAATGGTTTTTAGAAAAGGCTAACTTCACAATACCACATAATCTTTACATGTTGATCTTCCTGACAAGATGAATTTAAATCTTCTACAAAGCTTCATCATTTTAAGAAAATATTATTAGGCTTCCAAGCTGAAAACATATTCCACTCAGAAGGAAATTGTGAAACCAAAATAAATAAATAAAATAAATAAAACCCCAAATGTGTTTCATCTAAGTAAAAGTGTTGATCTTGTAAACATGATACAAAGTTCAGTTCCCCACTTTACATAGTCCTCTCAAACTCAAATAAATTATTCCTGCCCATAAACAAACCCCCTAATCATTTCCTTCCTGAAAAGGAAGTATTGCTAAGAAAGGGAGAAAGAAATTGAGAGATCCAGTCCACACACAGTGGTGCCAATCATTTGGTTTTGAGAGCACATTTGCTGTTCTCAAACAAGTTGGCCACCTTCAAAGAGCTGTTGCTTTGATGGACAAACTAAGCAACATTTCCATACTACAATGCAAAGTCCTGTATCACTCTTGCATTCTCCTTTTTATTAAATAGATGGATTCCAAAACAAAACAATAGAATGCAGTCCCCTTTCATTTTTATTTATCCAAATTGCCTCCAGCATGCATGTGGGCTCTGGAATTTTTTTTTTTTTTTTGAAAGACAGTTGATGCTTGAGGCAGGTGCTCTCTAGCAGACTAGCTTCACTCTTTTTAAATTGAAAGAATTTGAAGATAAAAAGAACCGGTTTTATCGGTTCCTTCAGCACCACAGACCTTCCGTTCAAAAATAAATCAATAAGAAACAATTCCTGCAAAAAAAAAAAAAAAAAAGATTTGAGTCCTAAAACTCAGCGGAGGAGCCGACTCTGAAGAGCCACCGACTTTGTCCAAACAATGTTGTTTTTAACAGGGGATTAAATACGAGGGATTCAAACTTCGCCTTAAACTTCAGCAGTTTCTCTCTAAAACGGTTTTGGCCCCGACAACTGCAGTGATTTCCACGCAAGCCCTCAGACAACGCGCAGGACTTTCCGGGCCTTTCCGACAGGGAAACGGCGACAGCCAGCATCTCGGGGGCGGGGAAGAGACGGGCCATCCTTCCAGCCGCCGAAAGGAGAAGCCGCGAGGGCCTCCCTTCCACCGCGCGAAGCCTTCCTCTCCCCAGCTGCTAATCACCCCCCCGCCCCCCCGGGCACAGACGCCTCAGCAGCTGTGTTGTTGTTGTGGCGGCGGCGGCGGCTGCCTCCAGAACTCCCATTGCCCGGCACCCTCTACCGGCGCGGCAGCAGCCACGGGCTGAGGTGGGGGGGAGGAGGAGTGGGAGGGGACAGGCCGCCGCCAAGCGGCAAAGACCTCCCAGAGACATCGAGGTCGCAGCGCCCGCAGCCGCCACCCGGGACCGGCGGACCTGGGCAAAGCCGGAGGGTGTGTGTGTATGGTGTGGTGTGTGTGTGTGCTGTCTTTCTGCTGTGTCGCCCAGCAACTGCAAGCGGCTTCTTGCAACGGGCGAGGGAGGCGGCCCGGTTTCTCCATCTTCTCGCTGGGCAGGGCTGGGCTGGGCTGGGTTGGGTCCCGGCGGGGTGGGGGAGCGGGCGGGCGGGCAGCCGCGACGGTAGCAAAGCACGAGGATGCTTGCAAAGTGAACATCTCCCGTGGGAGAAAAAGGTGGCGCGGCAACCCAGATGCAAAGCCCAGGCGGCGACCTGGACGGCGGTGCCCCCTCCGCGGCCACCACCGCCGCCGCCGCCTCCTCCTCCTCCTCTTCCACCCCCTCGCCAATGGCGCCGGGAGGAGTCGGAGAGGGCAATGGCCGTGGCCGGGCCCCGGATGGCGTCTCCAGCATGAACCCACGGCGGCCCCAGGAACTGCTGGAGGAGGTGGAGAAACTGCGGGAGGAGAACGACACCCTCAAGGTGAGCGGGGGTGGCAGGTGCCGGTGGGTGGGTGGGTGGGGGGAGAGAAAGGTGTGGCCCAGCCGGAATTGAGGATGGGGGATCTTTTATTCCCCAAACAAGGACCCACATTACATTACAGGCGAGCAATTGAGCAAATAGGCCCCTTCCTCCATCTATTTTCCTAGCTGCGTTGGGAGGGGGGGGAGTATTAATATTGCTTGCCCTGCCCCCCATCACGTATTGCCCAAGAATATCGATCGATCAAAACGCTCCTTTCTGTTTTCTAGAGATGAGATTTCTGCCCTTCTCCTCCCCCCCCACTTGTTAACAGATGTTGAAGTGAGGCCTACACCATTTCAGATATGATAGATTTTTAAAAAAAATTAAGCTATGGGTTTTTCCCTGGGCCTTATCCATTTGCACGGAACCATTGTGGTCCCCTTTATATGGCAAGCCACAATGGCTAGGCCCAGATGGCATTCCAAACCAACTTAAACAAAGCATTTTAAGGTTTACTAGAGTGTGTGAGCCCAGTCTGTGATTTTCTGTAGGTAATTTTTATGATAGAAAAAGACACACGTGGTTTGTGCAGCTCTCAATTACTGCTTACATGTTTTTAAATGATTAATGATTGATTTGTTGAGAAGTGATCTTGTTCTAGTGTGTTAAGAATACTGAATAAAATGTAATTTTATTTTATTTTTCAGAACATAATACTTTTTTACACCACAGTTTATTTCTACTGCAGAGAAAAGGAGTAGGTTTAAAAGATCTATTTAAAAATCAAACTATTGCTTACCATCATTCATTTTTAAGTTCTATTATTGTGTTGCGGATTTGAGATATCTATAGGATCCTCATATAGATTTGATAAACTGTGATAAACTGTGACACATACTTTGGACTTCTGATGCCAAGATTGGATAATTAATACCTACTATGATTTTATTGTAGATTAATGATATGGGTGTCAAAGCATGGGAATACTCATTCAGTATGCATAAGAGATTAACTGATATATCTGTGTGATCATAAATCTCAATTTCTTTGAAAAAATGCATATAATGCATATAAATTATCTTAAATCTCATTTTTCTTTAAAAAAAAACCTATACGAAGTACAATTGTATAATGTGTTTCTACCTCTTCTCATTGGATGCCAGAATGAGATAGATGAGATGAGAACTGAAATGGATGAGATGAGGGACAGCTTTTTTGAAGAGGATGCATGCCAGCTACAGGAAATGCGTCATGAATTGGAGAGGGCTAACAAAAATTGTAGGATTCTACAGTATCGCCTTCGGAAGGCAGAGCGCAAAAGGCTTCGTTATGCACAAACTGGAGAGATTGACGGAGAACTTCTTCGTAGTTTGGAGCAGGACTTGAAGGTACTTCTGGGTTTGAAGTTGGCAAAATGATAGGACATTCATGGGATCTTTCATAAAAAAACTAAATGCAAAATGTCCATTTTTAGATTATTCTTGCTTGTATGTTTACCCTTTTCAAGTAATTGGAGAGTGAGTCCCCAGGTATTCTGAGATCCATTGCTTTTACAGTTGTTCTCAAGATCCTTTGTATGATATGACCCATGATCCTTATTTAAAGGAGTGACTTTATAAAGAAATCAAATCTTTTTGAACTTTTGGGGACACATATATATTCCTTCTAATCTAAATATATGAAAAGGTAGATAATATACCACAAATGCTCTAGCACAATAGAAAAATATAAATGTGGTCAATTGATCAAAATGTCAAGGACATAGATCTCTTTATTACTTGATACAAAGTGATTTTTTCTGTTTAGTTAAGCCAGATTTGCATCCAAACTTAATGTCTTTAAGATACTTGTAAAAATGAGGTGTATGGTTATAATTTTATGGTCTTTTTGTAGTAAGTCTGTCAGACAATTAAATGATTTTTATGTTGATTGCTAGCATTTTATTGACAGCTCTTTGAAAAGCAAATGAATCACAGTTGCATTTTTCTGGCAAATATTCACGATGGCTTCCAACGCTTCCGTTTTCACATTTGATGTAGAAGAACTAGATCAAAAAAACATTCTCATGAATACCTATGTAGAAATCAGTGCTCTTGTAAATGATGCTTATGACTGACAAGATGAGCATTTGACCAGATTGTAAAGCCTCATAGTTTTTAAAGCTTAAATTTGCTATCTGGATGCTAAATAACTAATACAGAGTCAATAACACAGAGTCACTCTGAGAGTAAGATGAGCAGCATCTTACAAATAAATTTGACAAATAGCATATAGAAATGTGATGATAATTGGATTCCAATAGAAGAGAATTATCTATAGTTCAGGGTTGAAATGTGCTGGGTTGTTTTCTTGAAGAAGTTTTATTCCCAACTAGGTAACATCAATGCCTTGCATAAATTAGTTCTACAGAATACAACATTGATCTTTGTGGTAGAGAGAGAAGGCCTAGATAAATAAAATAGTTTACCTAGATACTTTCACTTTACAAAATGGCATATTTCTTTGTTTATACTTGAATATAGTTGAATCTGAGCTATGTTGTATTATTTTGAAAAAAAATGATATTAGAATAAAATAAGGACTGTGTATATTTTTTAAAAATGAATTGTAATTGGTATAGACCTAAATCAGGAAACAGCCTGTTAAATTTTGAAGAGAGTGTCAAGCTGTACAGTTACAAATAGCAATAGCACTTAGACTTATATACCACTTCATAGTGCTTTACAGCCCTCTCTAAGTGGTTTACAGAGTCAGCATATTGCCCCCAATAATCTGGGTCCTCATTTTACCAACCTCAGAAGGATGGAAGGCTGAATCAACCTTGAGCCTGGTGAGATTCGAACTGCCAAATTGCAGGCAGCCAGCAGTCAGCAGAAGTAGCCTGCAGTACTGCATTCTAACCACTGTGACACCATGGCTCTAGTTGTCTTTTAATTAAATTGTTTAAGGTATAGATCAATGTGTATGGTGCAAAAGCATTAAATCTGATAAATATACATTGACACTTTAAACAATATATTCTAATTTAGTAAACAAATTGACAGCTCATTTTCATATACTTCATAAGTATTCCATCTTATAGTGGCATACAAGAAACAAAGCATTTTTAAAAATAAATACATATGAGAGCTTCCTAAATCTTATCAATAAAATGATTCTCATCTGTAAAGGGTAGTACTTATCCAGATGCCTGCTCAATTTGTTACTGAGAATATTTTACTGATAAGAATTTCAAATTTAAATTTTGGTTAGATTATATTCACTGATAATAATGAACAGACGGGTTGGTCCTTGATTTGGGAATTCCAAGTGTAGTGTCATCTCAATTGTATAATCATCATTCAGATTCTAATTTTGTAGAAATTATCAAATTCCTGCATGTTCAAACTGAACCTCTGTCATATTTCCATTTTTTTAATCACTCGGAAAATAATATATTGATATTATAGCAGAATTGAATTGAAATATAACTGAAATATAATATTTAGTTCTATAATACAGTATCTATGCCATTTCAATTTTTTTGCTAAATATGTTTCTATAATTGTATTACTGTAATTATTTCAAGTTTCTAATCATGTTCCACTTAGGTTGCAAAAGATGTTTCTGTGAGACTTCATCACGAGCTGGAAAATGTGGAAGAAAAACGCACCACCACAGAAGATGAAAATGAAAAGTTACGACAGCAATTAATAGAAGTAGAAATTACAAAACAAGCTCTGCAAAATGAACTTGACAAAATGAAAGAGGTTAGTTCTCTCTATTATCAATTTGTATTCTCTGAATTTCATAAGCACTCTTTTAATGATTAATGAAGCTGCATGGCCAAGGTTCATAACAAGACTAACCAAAACTGTATAGAAATGGATGAAATTTGAAAAAATAGATATTTTCCTACAACAAGGATGAGCCATTTCAGCCTTTGTATATTTATTTGTTAAAAAATTCATTGTATCTGTTTTTGAAATGAGAATCACTGAGTCTTGATGTGAGAAATGGCTTTTGGTTTAATTAAAGGCAAAAAAATGCTGCTCAAAAAATATAAAATTGTGGTCTTTAACCCAGGATGGTCTTTTAAGTACAACTAAAGAATTGCATGAATGTCATAGGATTAGTGATACTGAACAATTTATTGGGTCTATTGCTATTGTAAAACCCTCCATGCTGCATAGTAGCTTACCTGCCTGAAGTCCTTGATTCTATTTTCCAGGAGAACTTCAATCTGCAATCCTTGAGAGTAGAATCTGAGATGGCCTGGGAATTCATGGCTATTGTAACAGCTGTGGACCTATCCCAGGTTATCTAGGGCCCAATACCTCATCTGGTTTTCTTCTTTGAGTAGTGGCAATATGCTCTGGAAATTTGGGGAACTCTAATGTAGCTCCCCTGTCCTGATTAGGTCATGCCCTGATACTCATTACAGTGGGGTGGCACTGAATCCAATGGTCCACCCCAGGAGGATGGGGTAATGGACCTTGAAGGGGTTACAAAAAGAGCTGGGAGTTATTCCTGAGGGCCTGCTGCATGGTCCTCTTGAGGCTCTGATTGTCATCTGGAAAAGGAAAGTGCAAGAGGCCTTATATTAGATTGTGCCCATGTGGCCTCTCTCCTTTTGTGGATCTGATCACTCTCTAGATTTATGGAAGAGTTGAGGAAGAGAAGTGGATTAAGAGATTCCAAGAATCCCATTGGTGGAGAAAAAAGAACGAACTTGTGTGAATAAGGCTGAGAGCTTCTATTAAGGCATACCTTGTGTCAGTAAGGATGGCAATGCATCACTACTTCCCTGCCCTTAATGCATCCACAGATGGCTGACCACAGGTGGCCCTGTTTAGGGTGCCCAGCCCTCTTGAATGGAAGGAACTCTGAGATACACTTTCAGGGCCATCCAGAAGAGAGCAGACAAAATTGCTGAGATTCATTCCTAGCTGCATGCCCATCTTGGTACAGGTCCTTTGGAGTTGCCTGGGACAGTCTTGCCATGTTATTTGGGTGGAGTTCAAACTTATTTGATCCAAGAAAGCAGGCAGAGTCCTTATGATTGTGAGCATAACCACCTCCTTATTATATCCATGCTCTTCTTGGTTGGCAAAAGCTTCCAGGAAGGTATTGTGGTTGGGTTTCAGTGATGACAAGTTCTTCTTTAAAAGAGGGGATGAGGCCCTTAGGGAAGCATTGGCCTGCCCTTTTTTCAAGAAGCCAATCCTGAAATGAACTATTCTGGACAATTTTTATCCAGTATTTAATCTTCTATTTTTAGGGAAAATTGTTGACAAGATGGTTGACAAGTCTGGTTTCTGGTTGGATAGGGGACTGAGGCAACTTTGATAGTACTTTTTGATAACCTTTAGCGAGAGCAGGATACAATAACACATCCATCCTTGCTCTTTTTGACCTCTCAGCAGCCTTCAATACCATTGACCATGCTTTCTTTCTGGGCCAGCTATGGGGGATTAGGCAGCACTGTATTAAACTGGATCAGGCAGTTTACAGTGGTATTAAGATGGTTCTCTTCCTTCTTCAGTGGCCAGTTTCAGTTGATGTTGATTAGATACTTAGATATTTAGGGCCCGCCCTCAGCCCCTAAATTGTGGGGTATTGGACATTTAAATCGAGTTGATTTAAATCGAGTTGATTTAAATCACAATTTAAATAATGATTTAAATCACTAGTAAAAAGGCTTGATTTAAATCAACTCGATTTAAATCATAATTTTTAAAGAGCAACTGTCATCTTTGCTACTCCTTTGACCCACTGTTGACTCACCGATAGTCCCAGTGTTGCAGAATATACAGCCTCATGCTACATAACTAAGCTCCATTTCATGCTGAATAAACTAAATTATTTATGTATCTTAAATAGAAAACTATCTTACGATAGATTTTTACCCCAAAAGTTTTTTATTAAAATAAATTTGATAAAAATAAAAAAAATCCAATTTAAATAAAAAAAATCTGATTTTTTTTTTTTTTAAATCATTGATTTTTATCCACCCTGGTATTGGAGAGAGAGTACTCTCTCCACTCCAATTTAATGTTAACATGAAGCCACATGAAGTCATCTATAGCCATTCGGTGAGGTATGGTCACTATGCTGATGATACCTAACTATGTATCTCCATCCCTGATGAAGTAAGTGATGCCGCCAACATCCTGTCTTGATGTCTATAGACTGTAGGGATTTGGATAGGGAGTGACAGAGTTTAGCTCAACCCTGTCAAGACTGAATGGTTTTGGGTTTTGTATGCACCTGGATGTAGGAATTTACCATTTTCAATTCTGGATGGGGTTGCATTTCCCCAGACAGATCTGGTGTCCATTCTGGGCATCCTTCTGGATTTGTGACTCCTGCTTGAAGAGTAGGTGGCAGTCATGGCTAAGAGGTCCTTTGTACAGGTTCAAGTTCTATGCCAAGCAAATAAGGCATGAAAGAAGGAGAAGAGGAAGGAAAGTTATTTTCAGTCCCATGAGTCTGTATTAGTTGATGTCTTAATGGGATGAAGGGATAGGATACTATCAAGTGCTGAGAAACAATAACCAGTATTCTACATTTTGGGAATAGTTGTGCTAGCATAGTATTTTATTTTTATTTTGTTTTAAGATATTATCCCTGTACTGCATGTGAGTTCTGCCAGTTGTTGTGATTGTTGATTTATTGGATTTATTAGATCAGAGGTGAAATGTCTGTGAGATTTGCAACATGAAGTGGCTGTCAGAGATTGACATTGTCTCATTCTTTATGTACATGAAATCTAGCCTTTAAAAAGCAGTTTGCCTCCAGTTATGAATCATAAGCCAATGATGGTTTGTTGGCTTCCATTATTTGCTGTTAATATGACAAAAACTAAATCTTTTATTTCAATTCTTATGACTAACAACAAAAAGAAAGAGCTGTAAAAATGATCTATCTCTAGCTGCATTGCATATGTTTTCCTTCGTCATTTGCTCTGACACTTCTGCAAAGATTTCTATTCTTCAAGATCGTTTATTTCATGTTCATCTTTGGGAATCATCTACATGTGGTGATGTATGACAGAGGCCAGTTTTTTGGATTTTTCAAATTATGTAGACAGTATACACAATTTGAATAAGAAAACATGTTTCTATCCTCATTATATAGATGGATTTACCATATGTTGCACCTATCAATCGAATTCTTAAAACACAGGTATTGGATTTTGAGAACACCAATGAAATGATGAAGGATTGAGGTTTTTTTTGCTTCTTTAGTCATATTTCATACTTCAGTTGTTTTACAGACTTACTGAATTGTGAATAGAAATTTGTAACATAATTCAGAAACCAGTGACAAATAGGATGATACTGGGAAGATTAACATATAGAACTTGTTAAACATTTCTGTTTATTGAAATTGTGCAAAAACCAAGTTTGTGCATCAAAAAGCACAAATAGTTTTCTACTTTGTCTTGTCTGCTCATCCAGCCCCCTTTTAATAATTGAATGATAGATCTATTCTGCCTACTTCCTGAAGGCATTTTGTATTTATTGCCAGCAGTCAATGCACTGGCTATTGACAGGACAGCATTTGGAAAACAAAACTAATTAAAGGATATTCAGGCTCATGTGCTGATTCCAGGATCATGACATCATATCACACTATATTTTAGCATTCAGAATTTCATAGTGTGTGCTAACTTCTGTTTGCCTTGATCTTATTTGCTTGGGAAAATTAAATATCAACCTCTTTTTTAATATATGACTATTGGATTAGATAGTACAACTAATTAAATATCAGAGTTTGAAATTTTCATTTTGTCAGCCTTTATATCTTCTGTCCTTTCTGATTTATGATTCTTGGTAGAAGGGTGAGCAAGATAATAATTGCTAATTAAATATCTAATTTTATTTTGATTGACATGATTTATTAGTTATATTATGACAAGTCCATATGGATTCTGCAAGATAAATTTATAAAACCTTTCTTCTATATGATATTTAGAGAATGACCCAAGATTTCATTTGGAGAAATTATGCCATTTAGTTTCTTAAAGTGAAATATAGAGACAGAATAAAAACGGATTCCACTAATAATACAGATCTAGCAAAGCTTGGTAAAAAATAAGCAGTTGATGATAGCATTTTATATCTTAATGAATATCTTATTTTCAAGAGTTGGGGATGTTTGATGGAATATCTAGGTGTCTTAATACTTTAGTATAGATTTTCCCCAATTGTTTGGTTAGATTGCAGTTATAGGTAGTCCTCAATTTATGGCTGGTTGCTTAACAATTGTTTGAAGTTACAAACAACATCCCCAATCTACTTACAACCCATTTTCAGTTACAATGGCCACACTCGCCCTGTGGCTACATGGTTGTGTTTTGGGCTCTTAGCAACCAGCTCACCTTAAAAGCTGTTTGCAGCCACATGTGATTGTGATTTGCAATGTTTTTTGCCTGTTTCTAGCAAAAAGTACCCATTGGGGTAAATGAACTCACTTAATGAACACTGTGTTTGCTTAATGATCATCGTAAAAACAACTGTAACTTTGAATCTGACTGCAACAACTTATGACGGTAATTCCAGGCTCAATTATAATCATAACTCGAGGAATACCTTACCTTCAATATCAGCTGTCATAATATCAGCAGTACATGAAGGAATCTGTACCATATCTTGAGGATATGGGACATTAGCAATAGCAGTAGCACTTAGGTTTATATACCGCTTCATAGGGCTTTACAGCTCTCTCTAAGTGGTTTACAGAGTCAGCATATTGCTCCCAACAATCTAGGTCCTCATTTTACCGACCTCAAAAGGATGGAAGGCTGAATCAACCTTGAGCAGGTGAGAACTGTTGGCAGCTGGCAGTCAGCAGAAGTAGCCTGCTAACTGCGCCACCACTGGCTTTATATTTGTTCCTTTTGTGATCACAATAGAATAAGTACAACAGAAAGTCACCCTAAAATCGTTAAAATGTTAATTATTCAAGCGGAGTGCAGGACTCTGTTCTTAGAGGGAAAATGTGGGTGAAATATGTTCAGGATTAAAGCTTTGGTACTGCAAAATGAATATTTCATGACCTCTCTATAATTGCTTCTAGTATAGTTAATAAAATTATTAGAAGAGTAATTGAATTTTTCATCATTTCCATGAAATGATTGATGGCAAAGCATTGATCTACAAAAAGATCCTGTGTGCTCCATGGGCACAAGTAGCTTAATGGACAACTTAGCAGAATTTTGCATTCTTTGGAAGTATGAGGCTAGCTGTGTAACTCTTCAGTGTAAGGTATTAGAATATGCTGATACTGAACTCTTCTGTTTTTAGGGTGGACAGCCAGGGGAAGAGAGCAGGGGGTTGAACTAAAAGATGTCCAACCAAGGTCTCTTCCAGTTCTGTTATTCCGCAGCCCTGTTTTGGGGTGCAAAAATATGTTAAATAGACACATAGTTATTTTCATACTAAGTGTTATTCCGTTATAAATAATCATTTCCAAATTATTGCAAGCATTATTTGCAAAGGATCCAAATATTGGAGGAGGTGGTTGCTCATTCTCCACAAGAATATAGGCTGGGCTGAAAAGTACTGATTGGTCCGAAATCACCTAGTGAATGGCAGACTTGAGTTGGCTGTTCCAGTTCTGTACCAAATCTTTTATATCAGACTGACTTTTCAGCATCTTGAATAATAGCGATACTAAATTCCCCACATTTATCCAATTGAGAATCTTGAAAAACAATTTTAATTGAACTTAAGACCCTGTTTCACTTTTTGGATAATCCACCACTATTTTGAAGGATGCATATATTATTTGTTTCCTCTCTCCCAAACATATGAAGGCAAATTTAATACTAATTTAAAATATGATTGATAGTGAGTGTCCTAATTCCGCCCTGTGCACCGCCCTGAGTCCACCAGGAGAAGGGCGGTATACAAATTTAAATAAAATAAAATAAATAAATAAATAAATTATTAGAAACATGTGATGCAAGAATTTTAATCATCCCTTAATTTGAAAAGATACCAACAGCTTGGATTTATGTTAACTTGATTTAGAATAATTGTAATTGTGATTCTATATTAGGGTCTTATTCTACCCTGAAAACATTACAGCACAACAATATTGGGAGATTTATTCCATTGGAAAATAGGACTTTGGGGAATTGTGGGAACAGTTTTATCTAATATCTTTTAAGGGATTTTACAGATACAGGGATTGATAGGAAGAGATTTCAGTGGTACTTAATAAAGATTTTTAATTGTTGGTTTCACAACTTGAAATAATATTAGGTTATTACTGAAGCAAAATAAAAAATAAAAGCAACGTACCTTGTTTGGTTTTACTTTGATAATGGTTCAAAAATGTATTTATCCTGAATAGTATTTCAGGGAGGGGGAATTTTATATGGAGAGATATCCGCAGGGAAATAATAAAAGCAGTGTTATGTTGTACACTTCGCCTCTTCAATGTGTGTATCATGCTGCATGTATACAAAAGATAGAATATTGCATAATGTTATGCAAAAGGTTGAAAGCACTGAATCCCCTCCCTCCCTCCCTCCCTCCCTCCCTCTCTCTCTTTTGTGTGTGTGTGTGTGTGTGTGTGTGTGTGTGTGTGTGTGTGTGTGTGCGTGTGTGTGTAGAACTGGTAGTTTAAGACACTGGCAGTTTAAGATAAATCAAGGATAAGTAAGGGATGGAGGACAGCAAAAGGCAAGAAAAAAAGTGTAGGAGTGAAGGTTGATTCTGTGGAGTGCCATAGCTGAGACGTGAAGTAAGTATTCTGGAAATTGGAAATTAACATTTAATCCATCTAATCCAGTACCCTGCTAAGTATAGGGATCCAACTTAAAACAGCCCTGATGAATACCTACCTAGTTTCTCCTTGAACGCATTCAGCCAAAGAGAGCTTATCACTTGTCTATGAAATTGATTCCTCTGTGAAATTGTTCTTATTATTAGGAAATCTTTCCTAATATTCAGTTGGAATCTGGCTTCCTGTAACCAATACAACTTGCCTGGACTAAACAATTACTCTCCATAATCTTTTTCAGATTCAATGGTCTTTATTTGAAGTTCTCATTTCAAATCATCTGGATATTAAGTTTAGGCTCTGCTTTTGTTTTGGCCATCTTTTGAAATAACATAATCACTGAGCTGTATCACTTTGCCTTTGAAATCCTTTCTTCAGAATAGTTCTGAAATAAATGAGAGGTCAGGGGCCATCAGCTAAGGAGTGTCAGCTGATGGGACCCAGGAAGAGAACCTTTTAAGCCATGACATTTCACCCCGTGGAATATTTTTCCTCTGGAGATCAGATGGACCCTGTCCATAAAGACCTTCTGTAAGTTTGAAGACTTGGGTCTGTGCTTGTCCCGAGTGAAGTTTCTTGGTTATGTTTAGTGTTCTATTGTGGCTTTGCATTTTTTTCCTGGCTGCTAGGGGTTTCATATTTTTTGTATTTTTAAAATCATTTTAATATTGTTAGTCACCCAGAGTCACATATATGGGATTGGTAGTTATATGCAGTAAATCCAGTAAATAAATAAATACAGTTTTACTATTCACTTGGCAACCATTGCTTTTACTGTCCCAGTTTTCGGTGCAGAGAACTGGAGCACTATCTAGTTGATACTCATTACTGAATGCATGCAGAAATTGTGATTCATGAAAATAGGTCACTGTGATTTTAATAGGCTAGCACTTGAATATCCATTGACTTTTGCTAACTCCCACAAAATAGGATAGGATAGGATAGGATAGGATAGGATAGGATAGGATAGAATAGAATAGAATAGAATAGAATAGAATAGAATAGAATAGAATAGAATAGAATAGATTTTTTTATTGGCCAAGTGTGATTGGACACACAAGGAATTTGTCTTGGTACAAAAAGCATTTGTACTAACCTGCAAAATTGTAGCCAGTTTAGAACTGTTTCATATGTAAGAAAAAAAATTGCATTATGGTATTTGAGATAAACATATCAAATGCCTAATTTGACTGACTGACAATCTGAGGGCCATATTTAGCTCTTTATTTATCAGGAAATGGTTGTGACAGTGGGACTGGAAATTTTCTTTTTCAGATCTTGGTGCTAAACCTGTCAGTCAGGACAGGACAGTATGCTTTTTAGTTTCTAGTTGTTTAAATAATAAATGGACCAAGAGGCTGCATATCAAAGGAATTTTGGTTAAAATTGTAAAGAAACATAAATCTTGAAGTCCCTGCATTGATTACCAGTAGGTTTTCAGACCCAATTCAAAATGCTGGGAGTAACACAGGGAAGATTGGACACATCATGTGCTGAAGTAGCAGTGAAAGAGGGGGAAGAAAGGCGCTGGGGAGTTCTAGCCAATGTCCAGGTTCATCAGTAGATATATGATGGGGAGTGGTAGCTGTTCTTTTGATTCCCTCTGAGCCTAACTCCAACCAAAGATTTACTTGTTCACTTGTTGACAATGGAATTAGAAAAAAAGGGCCCTTCAACAAAGATTGACCCAAGAATGACATGCCTTCAAGGCCTATAGCCGTGATGGCGAACCTATGGCACATGTGCCACAGGTGGCACACGTAACCATATCAGTGGGCATGCCAGCTCAGCTCTGGCGTGCATTTGTGCGCCGGCCAGCTGATTTTCGGGCCTTCTGGGCCCACCAGAAGCAGGGAAACAGGCTGTTTCCTGCCTCTGGAAGGCCCGTTTTTCTTTCTTACCTGGCTCCAGATTCTCTCAATGCATCTGGGAAGGGCGAAAACAGCCTTTCCCACTCCTTCGGAGGCCCTCTGGAGGCCTGAAAGGGCCCATTTCCCAATTCCCGGTGGGACAGGAAATGACATTTTTTGCTGCCCCCAGTCTCCAGAGACTCCTAGAATGGCTATAGAATTATGGATGTGAGCATGTGCACGTGCGAACCTCCCCCACCCACCCCTCTCCTGGCACGCGATGGCAAAAAGGTTAGCCATCACTGGCCTATAGTCTACTGAATGAGAAAGAAAGAAAGGAGTGAACTTTCAAGTTTAAAAGACATTTGGGTTTAACTGATATCTCTTTTTACATGGTCTTCCTGGAACTTGAGCTTATCATTTTGGAAAAGTTTCCTTAGGCCGTTGGTCATTCTGTCTTTTTACATTATTTTTGTTTTACTATTTGCACATATTTTGATTATTCAAAATGTGTCCAGACCAGTGGTTCTCAATCTGGTCTGCAGACCCATGGGGGGACTGAGATGTCATCACAGGGAGTCCACGAAGGCTTGAAGAAATGTTATGATATAAAAATAAGTTTGAGGGCCCGTGGCCATGGTTCATGACCACAAAAGGTATTTAAAGAGGCTCCGTGCTGAAGAAAAGGTTGAGAACCACTGGTCTAGACAAGCAATGTGATTTTATTTCACATTATGTATTCAATGTAAATCTAATATGTAAGATAAAGGTGATATTTTTCTGACTTGTGAATCAGCTGCAAAAAATTATGTGCACATTGGATTTGCATTGCATCAGATTTAGTAAAACGTTAATTTCAACTTTTACAGCAGTCCATGAAAAGAAGAGGAAGCAAAGATTTGCAGAAATCAGAAAAAAAACAGCAGACTCCCACTGAGGTGAGGTGACTTCAAATATTTAATTTTCTCCCTAGTACATTGCAGTAAACTATGTGTTTCTAACTGACAGCTAAGGAAAGATTCAGGTTTTCAACAGGGGGAAATGTCTTTGTGACATTTGTGGTCTAAATTGACTTCATTAATTCTGTTTATCATACCTACATTTATTTCATTCTCTGTAGATACAACTGAATTTGCTATTTAAATTATAGAGATTGTATCTTCTTGCATTTAAAATGAATAATTTTAGTCTCTCTGAAATAGGCACCATAGTAAGGAGAAAAACGACATGATTTTATCTTCTTGAAAAAATATCCTACTTGTTTATTTGATAATAGTGTCTTTTTCTCAAGAATCATAATTAAGATGTCAAAAAAATTGGTTACTTCACATGACTGCTTTCCTGATCCTATATATTAGGAAAATTAGGAAACATCTAAATCATAATATATAAGTAACAAACATGATTTCTATATCAAAAAAATCCCCCCTCTCTCTGTGTATATTCATATTCCTTTGTGTTAAAGTATAAAATCTGTTATATGTTTTCAGTATTGTTTAGCATTATTAAATGCTGTTGAATTGGTTTTGGAATTTTTAACTGAGAATATATTGTGAAGCTGTTCCTAAATGCCTGATCTTTAGGCAGATTTGTTGGACTACCTTGCTTTTGCAAAATGCTGAGTATTGAAAATACGAATCAGATAAATTTTGCCTCTGCTAAATCCATGGAAAAACTCAGAAAGGGTTTTTGGAAACTTTGTTATTGTAAATATCAATGGTTTTCTTTTTTAATTGCCAAGTAAGGTTCTTATTTATATATAAAGTAACTGCTTATTTTCTCCCCTTTTATAAGGAGGATAATGAAGATCTGAAATGCCAGTTGCAATTTGTCAAAGAAGAAGCAGCTTTAATGAGGAAAAAGTTGGCCAAAATAGACAAGGAAAAGGATAGATTTGAACATGACCTACAAAAGTACAGATCATTATATGGTGACTTAGATAGTCCCTTACCAAAGGGGGAAGCTGGAGGCCCACCTACCACAAGAGAAGCCGAACTGAAACTTCGTCTGAGGTTAGTTGAGGAAGAAGCCAATATCCTGGGAAGGAAAATAGTGGAACTGGAAGTAGAAAACAGAGGGTTGAAGGCAGAACTTGATGACTTAAGAGGAGATGATTTCTCAGGAGCAGCCAATCCCCTAATGGGGGAACAGAATGAATCTCTCTCAGAGTTACGACAGCATCTGCAGTTAGTTGAGGATGAAACAGAACTATTGAGAAGGAACCTGGCTGACGTGGAAGAGCAAAATAAGCGCATCACAACAGAGTTGAACAAATACAAATACAAGACTGGGACTCACGATACTTCAAGGCATCATGACAGTGCCAAGACAGAAGCTTTGCAAGAAGAGCTCAAAGCTGCCCGCCTGCAGATCAATGAACTCAGTGGTAAAGTTATGCAACTTCAGTATGAGAACAGAGTCCTGATGTCCAACATGCAGCGCTATGATCTGGCCTCACATCTGGGGATCCGAGGCAGCCCCAGGGACAGCGATGCTGAAAGTGATGCAGGGAAAAAAGAAAGTGATGATGATTCACGTCCCCCCCATCGCAAAAGAGAAGGGCCAATTGGTGGGGAAAGCGACTCGGAGGAGGTCCGCAACATCCGCTGCTTGACCCCTACGAGGTCCTTCTATCCAACACCGACAGGGTGGCAAAAAAGTTTCACGGACCGTCAGCAAATGAAGGATATTCGCTGTGAGGCGGAACGCTTGGGCAAGACGATAGACCGCCTGATTTCAGACACAAGCACTATCATAACTGAAGCAAGAATTTATGTCGCCAACGGAGATCTGTTTGGACTTATGGATGATGAGGATGATGGCAGTAGGATACGGGAACACGAACTTCTTTATCGGATCAATGCCCAGATGAAGGCCTTTAGGAAAGAGCTCCAAGCTTTTATCGACAGACTAGAAGTTCCAAAATCTTCAGATGAACGAAGTGCAGACGAACCTTTGTCAGTGAGTCAGGTAGATTTTTACTTTGTAAGCCATCTAGGTTAAATATATCCTGTCTGAGATTTTGCAGGAACATATGATAATCATTTTCGTTTCACCCTTGGATATTAAGAATGGCAGAAGGAGCAGCTTAATGGAAGTTTCTATGGCTTAATAGAAAAGGCTAAGCAGCAGCTTGTAGCCTAATTCTAATTTGTTACTAAGAGCTGTATCAAGTTGGTATCATGGCTTGACATATTGGGTACCTGCCAAGATCCATGGTTTCATTATGGATCCATTAGCAAAAGCTCTCTGGCTTTTACTATTGGGTCTCTTTGCTCTTGCCACAATTCACTTGTTTTTCATCTCTTATTCAGGATGGGCAAATAATAGTTATAAGAAGAGGAACAGCTGCTTTCCAACAGTCACTCTGATAAAAAACATGTAATGGGAGGAGGAGGAGAAGGGGGAGGAGGGAAGAGAAGGGGGAAGAACAGTTATAGAGATAGGATATAAAAATATTGTTGGGGGGAGTGGACAGGACTTAATTAGCCTTGCCCTTGGGCCTTCCAAAATGTGTAGCTATGCTAAGACTGCAGAAGCAAAATGTAATAAAAGGAAAATAAGCACTAAAAGCCATTGAGAGGGAAGGACCTCTTACATACATTTTTCATGGGAATAATAATGGTAAACTGCTGATGTACTTGATAAGAGGACTCAGCTAAAAAATATGCTGAGTGTATATTTGGGCAAAGCTGCTTCTTCAGGTTTTGTTCAATTCCAAAATATGACCTCTGTTAGTACAAAAATTGTCAGAAGTTGAGAGAATCATTGCACAATAAAATCAAGGAAGTAACATAGCAGAAGTGATTATATGCCAATGAGCATCAAGGAACAACCTCATATTTGTAATTGTTTAAAATTATGCATTTTCTACCTTTTCCTGTAGAAGTGCAAGGTGGTTGTAAATCTTAAAGATAACCACTGCTTTGAAAATTTTAAAATAGGAAGCATTATATATTTTAAAATAATAAATGTTACAGCAGAGATCAGCGGATTTTTTAAAGACACAAATTGCAGGATTTGCATAATGCACCAAAAAGATTTGTTAAATTAAAAACTATTAGAACTGTTAAATTGATTTTTTTTAAAAAAAAGTCAAAATATTGCCTGATTGTAATACTCTCCAGTGTGAAGAAATTTGGCTCTCTCATGAGAACTTGACCATTTTTAGGATTTGTATTTTTAACCTAAAGGAATAGCAATCATTTATTCATTTATTCGTGACTTTTTTTTTTTGCAGAAGATAAAATGATATCCTAGATGTTTTAAAAATAAATTCTAGGCAGTTTAATGGAGGAAAGGTCTACCAATGACCATCATGTTTAGATGTAATATATTGGGATGGAAAAGGGAATGGGGAAGGAGACTACGATTCAGGCCATATTATGAGATCGTGTGATAGATTCAGATGCTCTCCTCCAGGTTTCCCTCTCCTGTCGCCTGGCATGATAAAACTTTTAGTCTTTATTTTATTATTTTAATAATCACCAACATTATTTATATATAAAGTTTTTGTGTGTAATGGAAGAATGGACCTAAATGTATTTCTGGTATGGGAAGAAACAAGTGTCCCATTCTGACAACCTATCTCTCTCATAAACTGTAGAATACTATGGGATCTAGCAATTTCCACAGGGGGAAGGTTAAAGATATAAAGATGGTTTCGACAATGGTCAAAAGTCCTCCGCTTTGTATATGGTGTGATATAAATACATGTACAAAAGCGACAAAGCTTTGATTGCACCGCTGAGATAGCCATTTTGACTTTTGACATTCACATCCTCCAGTGCTGCTCGTGAAATCTGGAACTCTATATATTATATATATTATTAAATTATATAATCTGGAACATAATTTTTTCTCTTGAAATGTTGATTTTTTTGGTGAGATTAATGTAGTATTGTCTTGTTTTGTATTTACTTTCCCAGATGTTCCAGCCTATCATTTTACTTATTCTCATCCTTGTCTTATTTTCATCCCTTTCTTATGCAACAATATTTAAACTTGTCTTTCTTTTCACGCTGTTTTTTGTGCTGTAGATCTTTTCATCATTTTATCATTCATTGTAGCATTATCAGTTTATTTTATTTTGTCCATCCTCCCAAGATAAAAAGTGCAAGAGTTGTAGTTTCTGTAGCAATCGCTGCTGTAAAAACACTGAAGACTATTTGTTCGAAAACAATGGGAACAATCCTTACCTTCCAAAATGTGGATAATAAAAGAACTAAAAAAACAAATATTCCCACCACTGAACCTGACTTCTGCTTATCAGAAAAGGTAGGAATATGAAAAGCAGATCCTTACATTTTAATACATTTTTCTTTTAAGTAATGCTTAGATAAAATGTGTTAAAAATCTTACTTTTTTTAACAGATCCGAAAATCAATTCTAGACTAGAAATGCTCCCATAAAGTGGAATATTTGTAGCTCCGGATTGAAATGGGGGGGGGGGGTCCTTGGTGCTTTCTGAGCTTGGCTGTTTTCTTGCAAATGCTTTATTACCCAAACTAGTACAAACATCATCAGTGCTCGTAAGGAGCTTATATTCTAGTGGCTTACTCTGACTCAAGCAGCCATTTCAGGTCTAAAGTTATCCTAAAAGGTGATTTAAATTGCTTGCCTTCTATTGCTGGCATGGATGGTTCAGATATGAGGCATGATGAAGATCTGAGTTCTAGTATCAAAGACCTGACAAAGCTTTACTACTTAATTTAAACTTGAATGAACAGTAAGCAACAGAACACTGTATTAATAAATGCAAATAATGAAACAGAAGGCTATATAAGGGAAACCTTCTGTGATAACAAAGTACATTAGAAGCTAGTTCTAAAGCTAATTTCATGTAGCTCTTAAAATAAATTGGGATGCTGGATTAGAAATCAGTTGTAGAGGCTTACTAAGAATTTTGTGGTTTACACTAATGTGTGTATTTTAAAAATCTAAAATTTTTATTTACAATATGGAATTATATTTAAAAACAAGTGTTCTAAAATATGTTGAGATAAAAAAAAAATTGTTTTTTATGCCCTAATTGAAATGTTTAAATTTTGTTGATAGAGCTGGTAGAGGGCAGCTGTTGGGCACTTAAAATATGGTTCTCATATGGTTAGAGTTATCTCTTACTTTTAGATAATTCCTCTTACAAATGATAATGAAATGGAGTACCCTCTATTCTAGCAATAAATAGAATTTATGCACATAAGTATTAATATATTTTGCAAGCTTAATAAATGATATTTGATATATGTTCTTCTCCATATATAAATAAATGAAGGAACATTAGCAGTGTGACATTACTTTTGAAAATGATATAAAGTAGATGTAAGTATAAAACTTAATATATTCTGAATATGAAGTTAAAATAATATGTATTTACAGGAATTTATTGAAAGATACTTCAAAATCCTTCTCTGCATGCCCAGATTCCATGCAGATCAGCTGCTAAAACAGTGTTTGATTCCCCCCTTTTTTGTAGAGCATTGCAGAGTTCATACAATAGAATTAGATGATATTTTCTAGTGGAAAAACTGGTAATTAATTTTTCTTTGAAGGTCTTGTCCTTTCCAGAACCGGAAGCCCATGCCCCATGCCTTTCCTACTATTTTATGTTTGAATTGAAATGCTTCTGAAGGGATTCTTCACATACTTAAAGGTAGGTGTAGTTTATTTCATTTTTAATCTAATTACCCTCTTAAAGAAGGATAAAATATTTTCAAAATGAAATAGACAGAAAAATAATTTTGTTCTTCAGCTAGCCAGAAAGCGTCAGTCAGGATGGGGATACGCCTCCATCTAGCGTATGACTGAGTCTTGCATTTTGTTCTCTCTTATTTTCTATAACGGTCTAAGGGACTGTTTTGTCTCTTTTATTTTTAAAATGATTTTATAATATATATTCAAAACTGACATAGCTGTATGATTGGGATGCTGCAAGTCCTACTCTACCACAGCCCTCTAAAATCTAATTGAGAGTTATCTTATATATCAATGATTGTTGATTGCTGTTATAATATCTATCTCATTTATAACAAATTACTTGGCAATTACTTACTAATTGCCCTCTATTGCAGAAAATGGGAACTAAACTAAACTGAAAATCTAATTTTGTATGGCATTTTTTTCAAAGAAACTATTTTAAAGGAAAGAGGAAAATGATAGATCCTTCTTTCCTTCTATTCCTTGATGTATATATTACCAGGTTTAAAACAATCTGGAAATTTACAGCCATAAAAATACAAAGTTACAAACTAGAGCAAATAATGTGGCAACTATCTAGTGTCCATTACAAAGTTTTGACTGAAAGGAATCTAAATAAATCCTTTTCATCCAGGATACTAATATCCTTACATATTCTTTAAAACCTACTCTAAAATGGAAATATATTTGTCTATGATTGTCTAATGAGAAGGTTGGAGATACTTGTCTCTTCTAAAGTGGATGGTAAATCCCCCCAAAGCATTTATCATCTGTAGAATCAATTACAGAAGCATTCTCTAGTTGCCCAAGGAATTGAATAGCTATGGCTTCAGCTTACAGATGGCTGAGTTCAGGAGAGGAAAAGTATCGATACAATTACATACCCTCATATTTATACAGCTAAGAGGATTCTTTAGGCAAGAGGTTTTTGTGTGTAGGCTCTGGTTGTATGTATAAAAATGCATAAGAAAAACATTCTAAATTGCTGTTGAAGAAAACATTGTATGAGAACAGACTGATAAAGAGGCTGAGATCCTTCACAGAATATATTCAATATAATTTGAAACTGTCCACTGTTTGGGCATTTTGGATAAAATTAGTGACCTGTTCACATATATATAAACAGTCAAATTTTAGTTCAGGAAATCCATAAAGCCGTATTCTTTGGAAAATCAAATATGAACAAGCCACATTTTGCTATCCCATTGAAATTCTCTGTGCAATGTCTAAGTTTCTAAGAAGTTATTGAAGTGAAGGAAGGTTTGTTGGGCATGTAGGTTTAGTAGATGCTTTTCAGACTTTATTCCAGCACTGATATTGTAGGTTCAAAATCTAGCCTGTGTATTAGAATTACATTGCTTATTCTCTGAAAATAAGGCTGGAAATATTTGGTTTTATGGCATTTACAGAACATACGTCACAAATTATTCAGTATATCAGTGATTTCAAACTTTCTTATCTAACTTTCCTGGTTGTTTTGAACTTGTAAAATCTTTTTTTGTTTGTTTTGCTTTTTAAAAATTTTCTTCTTTCCAGTGTAACCAGAAGGCAATTGATGAATATCTTTTGAAAATAAGGCTGTTTATATAGCACAGTACAACAACACTCTGCATATCTCAGCTTCAGTGTGGTGTGACTTGCCATGTCAGAATCACTGCTCACCAGAAATACAAAGCTTTTACGAAGAGAAGAACAGCCAAGCAAGGATACAAATTGAAAGAAATCAATGTGAAGGAAAGCTCATCCTTTGAAAGTTGCAAAATGTCCAGATGTTCTCAGAAGTGAGAACAATGAACGGGATATTTCACTGATGGTAATCCAAGAGTCAAGTTATAACCTATTATGGGTGTGTGTTGTGCATTTATTTCTCATATGCAATAAGAGAGACATAGACAATTATTAAAATATTATTAGTTCAGTTAACAGTTGGCCTTTTGAATAAAAATGCAGGACAAAGAATAGCAATAAGAATAATTTTTAATTGCACTTTTCCTTTTGAAGAAATTGAAAGAGGCTTAAAGATAGCCTTGAAAATTCATAACCAAATGCGTATTTCTTAGAAATATAGAATTGAAAGGCACCTCAGAAATCATCTAGTTCAATCTCTGGCTTGGTGTACAATCTACTAGAGGATTATCATCCAGCCTCTGTTTGAAGATCTCTAGCAAAGGAGAGTTCACCACTTCATGTATAACAGCCAGTTCTGTCAGTTGACAGCTTATAGAATTAAGTGTCCAGCCAATGATTGATTTCTCAAACATTTAACTCTCTAAATTTGGCCTGCCCTTTTCTATATAACAGCCTTTCATATGTTTGAAGATTGTTATATCTCCCATCAGCCATCTTTTCAATAAGCTAAACATACCATAGCTATTCCTCATAGGTCTTGGTTTTCAGGCTCCTCACTATCTTGCTCTAATTTATTATGGCCCTCTGCCAGAACGAGGCATAGTATTCCAAAGAGGGTCTGACCGGAGCACAGTAGAGCGGAGCTATGATTTCCTGTGATCTGGATTCTTAGCGCACTCCAGGAAGCATCTGCTTTTTTAGTAGCTACATAGCATAACTTTCATTTTTTGGATCTTAATATAACACACTGTACCAGACACTCAAAAAGATAGAAGATTTAGATACCAAGTGTATGTCAGATTCAATGTGCTAACATAACACTGGCACCTTTTTTGGGATTTTTTAGAGATGGGGGGTGGGGTGGGGGAGACTTGAAGTGCTTCTGTGGTCATAAGTGTGAGCAGGCTGCCCAGTGCCTGAATTGACCATAGGAGCACTGCCACAACTTGGGGAACTGGCATAAGTAACCATCCATTCACCATTGCCATAACTTCACATGCTCACTGAGTGAATGGCCATGACTTAAGGCCCACCAGCATTCAAAGCGCTTTCAGTTCAGAACCATGGACAGCAAGCTTACACTTACGTACACAATTTATCCTAAGATTGGTTTAATTTTTTTTTATTGTTGAAAAGAAGACACACTGTAACCTCTCTACAGCTTCTAGATGGAGGATTGTGCTACCCTGATGTTCAGTCCAGATATGGATAGGGCAGGTTTAGATATTAGTTCTCTTTTATCTTCAGAGCTGCTGGCAGTGCAGTTTGGGCCATGTTACCTACAGGAATCTAGAACTTTTCACATTAGTCTGCATCAGAAAAGGTCTTTCTGCTAAAGATTAATTGCTAGTGTTAACATATATCCTACTACGTTTTCTTGTTTACAACTTCATGCTGATAGAGCAGAGCAATAACAAAATCATTGAACAATAATTCATTCCGTAACTTGCTTGAAAAAACATTCTTTAATGCACATAGGCTGCATATACAAACAAGACCATTTAAAACTACAAGAAGGCTTTTGGTATAGTTTGTACCTTCCTTGCATACCGTGCACATTTTTTGCATTGTATCTATTTTTATCTTAATGTAAATGTATAATTTATTTGGTAAAAGTAAAATGTTTATTTGCTACAGGGTTGATCAGCAGTGCTGATAACTGTTCTAGTGCTGCTCCATCAGTGTTTCTGAAGGGGTTTTATTTTATCCTTTTCACTCAGGTGACCACATTTGCATTGAAGTTTTCTAAAGTGGCTAAATGAGAATGGTGCAACTTGACTCGCCTGACCACCAGATCTATATGGGCTTCTGGACTGCTATCAGCACTACCTGCTATGAGAAGAATAACTGAAGGAACTCCCTTGAACTTTGGCTGAGGGATCTCAGTGAAGCTAGGTTTACTTTCCATGACCACAATCACTTCTGTTCAAGTGCACATTGGTCAATAACCTCACTTTTTGACATGCTGGAGAAATGATGTTGATTCTTAGATCACCCTTCCAGTCTTCAGTGTTTTTATCAATGAGAGAAGGATACCCCTCCCATCACGCATATATATAGATATTTAGAGCTCATGCATGGTAAATTTTCCTTTAAATGACATGCTAAGGTTCCTCACCTCCATACATTTTTAAACATTAAATACTGTATAACTCTGTACATTCCGACTTTTCCCACAAACAGCAGGAAGACATGCTGTGTGCATGATCATGTGTTTATAGGTGCATGTGTTGGAATAGGAAGTATTACTAGTCTGTATTTAGATGACACAAAATTAATACTATTGATGCTGAAATTAGACATGCTTATTTGTAGGCATACACATATAGAAATGATACATTTTGTGGTTTATTTTATTTGAAGATATATAACTCTGGCAACAGGTACTTTCAAAATACCTTTCACAGGTTTCACAGATCCACTATTTGAAATAAAAAAAATGAACGCATGCATTTTTGTAATTGTAACAACAGAGAAAAGGCGTTCATATAATATGTACTACTTAGCTCAGTGGATTGATTTCTCATTTATGCTTAATGCTCTTTTCCTCTTCTTTACATTACTAGGTCAAAGTGAGCTGTGCATATTTTTTTGACTTCACTGATCTACCACTTTTAACTGCATTTACCTTTTTCAGCGCACAGACATTTGTAAAGACGATCATCTCTCTTAACATTCTGCCACTCATGGTAACCAGAGACTGGTTTTCAGTGGAATTACTATCCAGCAACACTGTTGCGCAAAGGAGAAAGAAGCAGGGCCATATCTGTACAACATCTTAGGGCATAAATAAATCTTTTAAGAAAATTCAGGCTTTCTGGTAACACTTGCCTTGTGTCATGATGTTGGTGCCCCTACCAAGTACTGTATACTCAGTGATACGGATGTGCTCATTGGGAGCTCACCCATTATAATGAAGTCCAGATGTGAAGGAAAATGAACCATGTGACCGAATGGGATGGCCATCATAAATAGCCATCCCTATTTTGTAGGGATGGCTTTATGCCCTGTGAAGTTTTTTTCTGTGTTTAAACAAGTTTCTTTTTAAATAACCTAAAAGTATTGTCTTTTAAAGTGGTGTCCAAGAAAATGCAGTGATGTACCCTTACCTGGTGATGTCCAGGAGTGTGTTTTAATTTCTGTAATTCCCAATCAGCACAGCCTTGTACTGAAGTCCAAAATATTTGGAAGTCGACAAATAAAAGGCTAGTGTATATAGTCAATACAAATGTTCCACAGATGTGAAAGATACACCCATGGATGATGCTATATTTTCCCCTGTCTTATTGATCAGCAGCCATCAGGAGACAAGGTTAATCTATTTTGAACAAAAGCAAAACAGAAAGTGCTCGGTAGAACACAGTTCTGTATTCTTCTACGTGAATCTGTTTTTATTTTTGCTTTTTAAGACTTCTAGTGGTCAGATTAATCATATACATTCTTCTCATTGAAATGGTTTTAGCAATTAGGAAGTTTTGCTTATGAATTGTGCCTAGTATCCAGTATAGATATGTTTAAGGTGCTTGGAATCCAGACTGATTATTAGTTATCACCTGTGATAGATTGTTTTAATACAGTATGTGTATAGCCTGATTGATTTTCTCTTCCAACAGTCTAAATGAAATAACAGATCCTATTAAAATGCCTGGCTAAGTGTCATGAAATGGGCCCTCTTCCACCTTTGAATTCTCATCCCCTTGGAATTTCATACAAGGAAGGAGCAGACAGCATTCAACTAGCCTTTTTAAAATGTTTCTCCACAAGAAGGCAAGAGAATAGGCCTGTGTGTATTAAATAAACCATTTCATGTCAACAAAAGCTAAATTCTGCAACCTGTGAACTTACATGAGCTAAGCAAATTTGTTTCTACAGGTAATCCTCAACTAACACCACAATTGAGGCCAACATTTCCATTATTAAACAAGACAGTTGTTAAGTGAATTTTGCTCCATTTTACATTTCTTGCCACAGTTGTTGAGTGAAAAAATGGATGGAGGCAGGCAACACATACTGTTGATCCCAATATTGGTTCCGAATGCTCTGGATAAGCCCTGGGAATCACAAAAGGAATGCTAGTGTATTACATGCAATTTGTTTATTAGATTTCTATAGTTGCCCATCTTAGCAAGTAATCTTCAAGCTGCTTTTTGCTTTCTTAATTGATATCGTCCAGTATCTGGCATCCTGGCCTTGACTCTTTTCCCTTGCATTGTTGCAAGGTTAGATTAGATTAGCAACTTTCCAGATGTTGGAAGAATATGGTTGGAACCTGAGCAGGAACATTCCAGCTTGCAACAATTCCAGGTACCAAATTGTAGACATCGTTGTGGCTATCAGCAAGACATAGGGTATCTGATGCAGTAAATATAGTCTGCCTTCTCCCACAAAAGAAAAAGCCACTGAAGAAAAATCCTTACCACAGACTCTTGAACGAATTCAGCAACTATGGGATAAGAGGGCAAGTGGTCACATAGGATATGAATCTAAGAACAGAAAGGAAAGGGTAAGAATGAATAGTTTTCAAATTGGGGAGGTTCCAATGGAATTCCTAGAAATCAATGCAGGGACAAGTATTTTTAACAATTTAAGTTTTTATAATTAATGTTATGACACCCAAAAGGTCAATAACAGAAATGAATGATTGTTTTTAAAAAAACTTCTAGTATTATATAAATATATGTTTGTTTAAAACTTTACTAGTGCCTCACTCATTCTTAACCATTAACTTACTTTACATATTATGCTTGCAATAGACAATATCACAAAATTTTAACAATATTATAGGAAATGTTCAATAGTTGTTTTGGAAAAAGGAAAGGTACAAAGCATGTAAATTTCCAGCCTGGCTGATTCCTTAAAATCATCTGATTGTCTCTAGAAAAATGAAGTATGCATTTCCATAAAATGGAGCTTGATAAACCATGCCTTCCTATAGGCTTGCTAGCACATAGATTAGATAAATTTTAAAGAGGTTATTAACAAGATAGAATGAAACATTGGCCTCTACTATGACCAACCTGGATTCTAACTAAAAACTATTGAAGAAACATTTGCAAACAGCAAAGCAGATCTTAGAAACTATCTTTAGGGATACTTTTTAGGAAGCCAGACTTAACTGGAGCAGATAGATATGTGCTCTGTAAATCATTACTTTACTAGATTTTATAGTGGTGGTAAAATAATGCCCATAATTTGTAAAATATATATATAGTGATTTGTGGCCACATTTATTTGGACACATTCTACTTAATTTTTAATGTACACTTTTTCTATGTGGATTACTATGCCTTGAAATATCAGGGCACGTGTGTGATTAAATGCCTTCATGGCCATCTTTGTTTTTATTTTCCCCCATAAAGGGGTGTGTGTGTGTGAGAAAGAGAGAGACAGAGAGATTGGTTTATTGATTGACAAGCCATGGACTCTGAAAAGATGCTTGTGTCACCTATGTACATAAGGCAGCTCTGAAAGGGCCACCAGAATAAATGAATGAGATGATAGGCAACACAGAACAGATTTAAAATCCAAAGATATCCTTGTCAGAAGATACATTTCCCAGCCAAGGAAAATGGGCTCTTACTTGAAAACTACTCAATCTGGTCTGGAATCAAATTGCTTCTTTGCCAGAATATTTTCATTTTCTAGCTGACGTTCAGTTCAATTCAATTGTCAGATTCAAATCTTTATTGTCCGTGCACAACATATGTACAATGAGATTGGTTTAGGTCTCTCAGTGCACCCCCCCAACACAATACAACTCACAGTGAAGACAAAAAATCCCTTACCCAATAAATCATAGTTGGTAAATTAGATTAAGCCGGCTGCTCAGTTTGTAATTGACCCAGTTCATATTATTCCTTTTTTAATAAGATGGAATAATGAGAACACTTTTGAGATCTCTGCTGTCCTATCTTTTTAAATAAATAGTTACAAGATTCAGGATACACCAACTGGCTATTTTATTTTTGCAATTTGATATTTCAGATGCCCTTAATGATGTGGACTGTCTAGAACAGTGATGGCTAACCTTTTTGCCATCATGTGCCAGGAAGGGGAGGGCAGGGGAGGTTCATGCACACGCATGCCCACACCCATAATTCTATGCACCCTGCGCATGCATGCGTGATCCCCCTCTCCCCCCCTCTTGGTGCACAATGGCCGGGTAGGCCTGTTTTTCTTTCTCACCTGGCTCCAGATCCTCTCTATGCATCTTGGAGGTCCTTTGGAGGCCCGTTTCCCAATTTCCAGTTGCCCAGCCTCTCTAGGAGTCTCTGGAGGCTGGGGACAGGAAAAAACATCACTTGCTGCCTTTTCAGGCCTCCAGAGGGCCTCTGTGGGGGTGGGGAAGACTGTTTTCGTCCTCCCCAGATGCATAGAGAGGATCTGGAGCCAGGTGAGAAAGAAAAACCACCATCCCCAGGCCCTCCAGAGGCAGGAAACAGCCGGTTTGCCTATTTCTGGTGGGCCCAGAAGGCCCGAAAAGAGCTGAGCTGGTGTGGCATGTGTGCCATAGGTTCGCCATCCCGGGTCTAGAAGATACCTATGTGGGTTTAGGATGTTCCATATCAAATTCTGCAGTAAAAATGAAGTAAAAATTATCTCCCTCAATCCAGGGGTGAAATGCTACCGGTTTGCCTGAACTGGAGCAAATCGGTAGTGATAAAAACTACCTGTTCGGGCGAACCAGTAATAAAAAAAAATGCTTTAAAAAATGTGCCACGCAGTGGTTTTTTAACTTTTTTAAAGCATTTGTACTACCTATGCGCCCGAACCAGTAGTAAAAAATACTTTAATTTTTTTTTAAAAAAGTTGGCCACATCCATCCAGTCACATGACTCCCCCCACCAAGCCACACCTACCAAGCCATGCCCACATAACTGGTAGCAACATTTTACATTTCACCACTGCCTCAATCCAGACATGCACGGCTGTTTGGGTCTTCAGCCTGCAGTTATCAAGACAGTGAAAACTATATGTCCACCAGATGGCAACAATGAACTAGAAGTTTTGGTTTTATTTAAAATTGTTAGTGCTTACAATATAGTAAAGAAAAGATTGAAAATGAAACATACATAATTTATAAACAAGGTGAATATAATGATACACAAATAATGCATTTTTGTTAAAGCTAAAAACGCTATGGATCTACAAACCAAGTACTAAAAGTCAAATAGCACAATGAAAAAAATGAGATTAAAATTAAATATAAAGAAGAACAAACCAGCATTAGAATTGAAAATGAAGTTTTACTGAAGTTGTGGAAAGCTTTTGTGATCAACCATCAACAGTAAATGAATATATTGTATTGGCCACGTGTGTGTGTGTGTGTGTATTTGCTGATGCCTTATTTAAACTAAATTTATATATCAGTAACTGCATGACTTCTGTAGATGCCATATACTAAATAAATTAAACAGTGAGGAACAAGTGATAAGATAGACTGTTTGATCTATAATCTACACAATTATCTTTTCAAGCTCTTCCTGGTAATGCATTTCCTTGATCAAACCAAAGTTTGGAATTAGCAATTCACACCCAGAAGTATCAGGGTACTGAGAATGTAAATATTTCACTTGCAGATGAAAATCCTAAGATTACAGTAGCAACAGCCAGATTTTTAATTATGGCTATAAAAACAAGGCTTTTAGTAATGAACCAATGAGCTGGGTTTTAATAAATATTATGTAATATTTATTAACTATTTTACTTGTTAAACGGTTTTGTCCAATGCCAAGTTTAGATTATGTTGTAACTTGCTTTTGGGTCTTTAGGAATTCATATCCAGCACTTCTCTGCAACTCATAAAAAATAATTTCAAATGTTTTTTGGGGGAACATTTTCAATTAAACTGTGCATAAATGGAACATTTTAAAGTAGGATATGGTAGATTTGACTCTGAAGTACTTTGTGGTTGAAAAACTTTGCTAAAGATAGGAAAATATTCTTGCAAAACAAAGCTTTCAAACTTTGAAACTGGAAATATTTCAATGAAAAGGTCTAAGTGAGACATGTTTGCATAATGCTTTTTAATAAAAGGATTTATTATTTTATGAGAAACAACATACTTTATTAAAATATTGCACAATAAAACTGAAGTAGACAATTGGAAAGTACATTTAAATTTTACAAAATGTCTGTGGTGTACAATAAAATATCACACCACATAAAAGAAATGATTGGAAGAAATTAACTCTGAGATTGTTGGTTAGTTGGTTTATGAGCAGTCATATTACTATGTTTATTTTGGAATGATTGGGAAAGGTTTGATAGAACCTATCAAATAGTAATAGGTCAAAAACAAATAGTAATATAATTTATATTATATTCCATATGAATACATTGTTTTGTATTATAATGGTACAATGTAGGGTACGCTTTTTGTACAGATGTAAGAGCATCTTATTGAAGGATTTCAAATCATAGAATTAACATATATGATATCAAAATATTCCAAAATATATTGTTGTATTTTGTGTGATGAACATGTTTGTTCTTTTGTTTCATCACTTCATTGCTTGCTTTAATTGCATTCTGGTATTTGTTCTTGGAGACTCAATTTGTTAAAGCAAAATAACTGCGATGATGAACTGATTTCATTGTTTAGTTATGTAGTTATCAATCAGCCAGATCTGGACTCATTGAACATCATCTCTGATTTTAATCATAAGTTCCTAAATATTTTTAACCAATTCATTCCGGTGCCACAAAAGGTTCTGCGAGTAAATACTGCCATCCTGTGGTTATGTTTAAATGTTTTTTGTGTGTTTATAACTTTTAATGTTTTATCAATGTATAAAATACAAAGAAAAATAAAAATAGGAAATTAAGGGAAGGAAAAAGAAAGGGGGGAAATGTTATGTGATAATTACACTCTGAATGTCCATCCCAGCCAGCGCTATACTTTGGGATGAATTAAGGATTGCTTTGTTTAAAGGGAAAAAATCAAGTGCTAATCAAAGCAATGGCTTTTTGATAAAATATATATATATAAGGTTCTTTCACTGTCAGAAGTAAAATAGTGTTAATACTGTTTAAAATGTACTCAAAATTTAAAATCAAAGATCTCCTTATACTAATGAAAACATTTATGTCCAAAGAACCAACATACATATTTCATTATTTTATAAAATATCACATTATATCCATTGGATACATTCCTTAGAGAACTGTTATGATATCATAATTCTTAGATTTTTTAAAAGTGAAAAATGTAAGCTGCATTCTTCTGCTTCCTTTCTGGAGCATATCTCCTGCAAATTTTGAACATTACTTAACTCCATCATAGACAATTTTCATAAGACCCATCAATGTTTGAACATCCTTTTCATAAGAGCCACCAAGATTTTTCTCTCAACACTATTTTGATTAAGTTGGTGTCAAGTCTTAGCAACCACACAGACCAGGGGTGTCAAACTGGTGGCCTGCGGGCCAGATACGTCATGTGCAGGCCATGCCCACCCCAGCTCCGTGAAGGGAAAAAACATAGTGAAACGTCACCTGATGGCAACGTGATGCTGCAAGTTTGATACCCGTGACATAGAGAAACACTTATTGTACCACTCACCTAAGCATAAAATTCTCTGCTTTCAATTTTATAAATCACCATTATTGCTTCTATCATCAGCATGTTTGTTGTCTGATCTCCATGAATGTTCCCAACAAAACTAACTTTGAATATATTTTCATTTTCTGATCA